TTAAACTTAATGTGAAGCTTCTCGGTGATTACGTGTATCCAAGGCTTATGTTTCAGCCATAAATCCAAAGAGTGTGTGGCCGCGAATTGTGGTGATTCTAGATACCAAACAAATGACAGGTGTTTAAATTGCAATACTATATTTTTAGGCTGTAACTACCATAATCTTCCTCATCACTCTGATATGTCTAGCTTCCTTAAAGAGGAGAACATAACCGAAGCTACTAACTTAAAAAGGGACCACAATACAAGATATCATGCATGATACATTGATAGATAAACTTATTACTCCAAGTGAAACAGCAAGTGGATTCACTCAAGTCTGCCAAAATACAAACACAAACAGAAAACACATACAAAGACACTTCTAGTAGTAATAAGGCAGACTAATGGCTGAAATAGTTGGTAGATTCAACAGAATGATGAGTGGAACGTCGATCATTGGGACCTCAAGGGCTAGTGGTTGATGGGGGTGGTGAGAGGAAAGGAATAGGTGGAAGCATCGTGGGAAGGCCAGGGATGGAAGGGATTGTGGGCATGGTGGGCAGAGTTGGGTTTGGCAAAGATGGGATTAGGTTGCTTGGCAAAGGTGGCGGTGTGGTGGGTATGGGCAGGTTGGGGATTGAAGGTATTGTAGGCAGTGATGGTATTGTCTGCAGTAAATGGCGAGCCACGACGCTCTCATGAACACTTGAAAGTGATAATAAAAGGATCAAAGAAAGAACAAAGCAATGGTTAAGAGCAGCCATTGTCGGATTGGAACAAAAGCTCTAATTTCTTGAGGTATTTAGAGTTTCTGTGTGTTTTGATTTGGATCAAAGCAAGACTGGGATGCTATTTATAGGGGAAAAAGTGATGAAGAATTCTCAGAGTTTGATGAAATGTAGTTGGGTAAGTGGAGAGGAGGACCTTGTTTGTTCACCTTCCTGCCTATTCAAATATAAAGACACACCCATAGCTTACCACATGCCAACTGTTTATATGACGAAAAATGAAAGTTCATGACCCAGCAGCATGCTGAGAGTGTACTAGAATGGTCTTATAGGTATTTGGTGGGTAAAACTTAGGTCACCATTGGCAAGTTGGATTAACCGTCTTGATTCTGAACACGTTTAATTAAATATGTCAAATAATGTCTTAACGATAGCTGACATGCTCATTAGTTAATACTATCTAAACTAAAACCCATCACATATAGGTCGTAAATGTATTAAAAATCCACTAGATCTAACTATTAACAAGATCAAGTAAAAAATGTTTCAAGTGTATAAAGATTCACCAGAAAGACAAATGAAGAAAAAATTAAAGGCATATATTTTTTTTTGTACAATATCAGCTAAACAAAGTTGTTGAGTTAACGTGTACTCATATTTTTATATAAACCCAATTCATTCGTGATTGTTTTAGCACCAAAAATTGTAGTTAAAGGGTTTGCTCACAAGCACCATAACAACGTGTGTATGTATATAAGATTGCCATATCCATATGCCAATATATACATGTGTAAATACATTTATATATAGAGATATATATGTTCCGATGAACACGTATGTGTATATTCAATGATCACAGGATCTCTTATAGGAGAAAATATTGATCACAACGGTGATACCATATAACAATATGATGTAGCATCACTAATCAATGATATTAAGACAAATAAGTAAATACCCACTTAAAATTTTATTATTATCAGTTGGTGATACCATATTATAAATGGTGGCATGGTATCACCATCGAAGGAAGTTGACAAGATTTTCCCAAAAAAAAAAAACTGCATGCAAAATATATCTTAGGACAAATTACATTTTGACCACTTAACTATGATTTTTTCCTTTATCCCCTCAACTATCATGTTTCTCACATTATACCCTCAACTATGTGATTAATTTCACATTACCACAATTATTAACGTACATTACATATTTAATGAAAAGTTATTTCATTTTGCCTTCCAAACTATATAATTTTTATTTTTTCCTTTGCCACGTCAACGATTTCAATCAAAAAAGATTACTGCCGTTTGCTATTGGGCAACGTCAAATAATCAAAGTACTCGAGGGAATAATGTGAAAAAATGGGGCAAAGTGACAAAAGGGTCATAATTGAGGGGTCAAAATATAATTTACCCTATTTCTTCTCAAACCCAAACACAAAGTAGAACCCATAATATCCAGAGATTTATCAAAGATATAGCAAGAACGAGGCCATTTCACTACAAAGGTTCAGAACACAACCAAACATCATGAACCCAATAACCCAATCAACTAAAAGTTTAGTATAACTCATAGAAGTTATTCCCACACCTATTTGATTTGATTTCAGTGTCTGATTAAAGGAGATGGGGAACCAGATTATGATGCCCTTGTTAGAACAGAAATCTCAAGAATTATTGACAGCACGTGTTTGTATTGAATACAAAAAAAAAAATTCCTTTAATACCCTACAAAGCGAAACTAAGATTTACCTTCGAGATCGCTTTAGATTAATTTCATCTCAGCAAGAACATGGAATCTAACAACAAACGTGGAAGACAGCTCGATAAACCTCACGGTCTTTTGTCCTATATCCCTCAACTTCAAAATTCAAATGCAGTGTGGGCTGCAAAGAACTCCGATTTTTTGCTCTCTCTCTCAGTCTCTCTCAAAACCTGAGTAATGAAGTTAATGCTGATTTAGAGAACCTAGACGTCTATAAGGATCAAGCTTTCAATGGGTCTTATGATTCCTATGTTCAATCAGAACAAACATTTTACAGTCCATTAATAATAAATTAATCTATTAAAAACTTATTATTGATCTTCTGAGTGTTATCTCAAAATTATGTTTCGAACTCTTTATTATTATATGTTTAATAATCCCGTCACGTTTAAGATTATAAATGTACACTTAGATTCTTAATAAGATGGAAAGAACAAACTCTTATTAATTAATAAAATGAGTTTCACTACAAAAAATAATTTTTTAATATATAACTCTATTAGCCCTCACGTCAATGACCTTCCTTTTTCGAAAAAAATTAAAAAAAAAATTGGGATGCAATACATGCTTGGTAAGAAGAGGGATTATGGTGGGACATTTATGGTGATCCGTGAACTTGAAAAGAAGATGAAATGATTAAACAAGAACAGAAAGTCTCGAGGAAGAGCAAAAGTATAAAGGGATATTTTTCAGATTTAGTATTATTTCAATGGTAAAATAGAGATTTAAAAATTTAAAAGAATAATCGGCATCTCATAATAATATAGATAGAGATTGCACTAAGAGTATTTAGTCACATGATAAAAAGTTAAAAATAATTAATATATGGTTAAGGATAATTATGATAAATTTAATTTATATGTAAACGGTAGATAGTGTTGTTGATAAGCATTTGTTCAAGGGTACAATAAAAATTTAAAAATTTTTCATGAATCTTGACCTTTAAAAGTAAAAGCGAAAATGGTATACAATTTTGTCTTTAGGCATTTACTTAACGATAGACTAAGAATTCAAAAGTTTATCATCAATCTTGACAATTAGAAGCAACATAAATTAAGAGAATAGTGGCCAACATTCAACATGAGTTAGTACCCAATTTTTATTACCCAACATTCAAAATGAGTTAGTAATTCGGGTTGAACCCGAATTCAACTCGAAACTTTCACATGGTTGTATAGTGGCCAGGGATAATCAATCTCAAATCTCAATCTGAAATTCAGCTGCATTTTGTAACTCAAAAATCAAACCCAAATTGAACTTGATTTAAGCCCAAAGTTTCCCCAAAAATTAAATCCAACGTTTGAATTCAAGTTCTACTCGAATTAACAAACCCAAATTTTAACCAGAATGGAGTAAGCTGAGTTCATAATTCGAAGATGGGCAATACTCAGGTTGAAGGGTTCGAGTTAAATGGATTCATGTGGAGCTTGTGGGTATGTTGTCAATGGTATACAGAATGAGTTGTTACAGTAGAGCTCACACATATACGAAAGATGAGTAGAACTCACAGGAAACCCTCTTCATAGTATTGTTGTTTGGCTCTTGGCCTGAATTGTATTGCAGAATACAGGCTTCAATCCCTATTTCTAGTTGAAGCCTCGGCTTAAATCTACAGACAAACTCAATGTGAACTTATTCATGCCAAATAGTATGAACAGCCTACGTTTGAATATTGTAACGTTGCATGTTTGTCTTTAGACAAAGTAAGTTATGGGTTAGGACTTTTGCAACATCCATATCACAAACATTTTGATGGGGAAAATGTGTCACCTTTCAACATAGCTTAGGTTGGGGTACTTGTATTTGTGTTGAGTCCACATTAACCTCTCAATCTGCCAACCTGTTCGATCTTGTTCCCTAGTCAACATTAGTGTGAAGCTTTACAGCTTGTGCACTTTTTGATGATTTTGTTGAATCCCATAGATTATGTGTGTGCCATTGCAAATGCACTTGCAATGAGTTTCGATTTTGAAAAACTATTTTCCTTGTTCCCGTCTCTAACTTGACCGATGATATTTTCACTTTTGATTTAAACTTAATGTGATGCTTCTGGGTGATTACGTGTATCTAAGGCTAGCTTATGTTTCAGTCATGAGTCCAAAGAGTGTGTAGCTGCGAATTGTGTTGATCTTCCGCATCACTCTGATATGTCTAGCTTCCTTGTCATCAAAAATTCGATATTCACACACGCATGCATATATGAGTTTGAGAAAAGCCCAAAACCATTATAAATCCGGACTAGTATCTATAAAAACCCTCAGTGGCAACAAGCAGTACTCAAAGAGGAGAACATATCCGAAGCTACTAGCTTACCATGGGACCACAATACATCATGTCATGCATGGATAGATAAACTTATTACACCAAGTGAAACAGCAAATGGATTCACTCAAGCCTGCCAAAACAGAAACACAAACAGAAGACACATACAAAGACGCTTCTAGTAGTAATAAGGCATAATAATGGCTGAAATAGCGGTAGATTCAAGAGAATGATGAGTGGAACTTCAATCATCGGGATCTCAAGGGCTAGTGGTTGATGGAGGTGGTGAAAGGAAAGGAATAGGTGGAAGCATCGTGGGAAGGCTAGGGATGGAAGGGATTGTGGGCATGGTGGGCAGAGTTGGGTTTGGCAAAGATGGGATTAGGTTGCTTGGCAAAGGTGGCAATGTGGTGGGTATGGGCAGGTTTGGGATTGAAGGTATTGTAGGCAGTGATGGTATTGTCTGCAGTAAATGGCGAGCCGCGACGCTTTCATGAACACTTGAAAGTGATAATGCAAAGATAAAAGAAAGAACAAAGCAATGGTTAAGAGCAGCCATTGTTGGATTGGAGCAAATCCTTTAATTTCTTGAGGTATTTGGAGTTTCTGTGTGTTTTGATTTGGATCAAAGCAAGTCTGAGATGCTTTTATAGGGGGAAAAGTGATGAAGAATTCTCAGAGTTTGATGAAATGTAGTTGGGAAATTGGGGAGGAGGACCTTGTTTGTTCAGCTTCCTGCCTACTCAAATATAAAGACACACCCATAGCTTACCACATGCCAACTGTTTATATGGTGGGACAAGCATAGGTCACGATTGGTAAGCTGGATCAACCGTCATGGTTCTAAACACGTTTAATTAAGTATGTCAAATGTCTTGATACTAATCGGTATGTTTACTAGCTAATACTGTCTAAACTCAAACCCATCACGTATGAGTAGTACATAAATTAAAAATCCCCTTAATCTAAGTATTAATAAGACCAAGTAGAAAATGTTTCGAGTGTTTGGAGTGATTCATCAGATAAACAAATGAAGAAAAAAATTAAAAGCGTATATTATATGCGTACAATACCAGCGTAACAAAGTTGTTGAATTAACATGTATTCATATTCTAATATAAACCCAACCCAACCCATTCATGATTCGTTTTAGCGGGTCATGACATTTTTCTAGATTGTGGTGAAGACTAATCATTCTTATGCCTCTTGGTTCATGTTAATGTAACATCTCAAACATTATCAACGAAATGAAGTAAACGTTTTAGTTCATTGATCATCATTATATTTGTGAACAAAGCTAAATTTTCATGTGATGATGCCATGACAAGGCTAATGTTAGAAAGTTCTCACATGCACGTTGCTTACATTCATAGTAGTTGTTAAACTTACTTTTTCTATGCTATGAAGGTTTCGAGAGACCAACTCCATGTAATTGTGGACAAAAGTGAGCACTGCCATAAAAGAACACTAGTACGTTTCTGTCAAATATTGCAAGACAAGTCACAAAAAGACATAAAACCAAAGGAAGCAAGGAGAGTACTGAAACTATCAGAATCCTGCATAGTCCTTCCACAAAAATAATGTTATGTGAATAGCAAAGAATCTATATCATTTTAAAAAAGGAAAGTTGGGTAGTTTGTAACTTTGTATCGTTTTTCTCTGAGTTGACAGATCGTGTACAGAATTAAGAGACTTGAATTTCATATAACAAATAAATTTTTTTGAGGATTTAGAAAACTGTTTGTTAAGACGTCTTTTTTTCTATATCTCACATGTTGACGTATTTTGTGCATATTTTCAATTCCTATTTAAATGGCAATCATTTTGTATTTCATTACACGCGGTTCCTTCCATGCATACTTCCCAAATTTGTAAAATATGTTTTTCCTTGTACTTTTCGCGATGTTGTCATTATTTGAATAATGTTTAACTATCCAGTACTTTCTTTTCTTTGCATATTCAAGATCCTAAGTTTATGCACATTTCTGATAAAAATTTGTCAGTCTTCTCAGATTCTTGTGACGAAAGTATGATGTTAAGTAAAGTATATTCAAAATATATATGTATCAATCTAAAAAAAAAGNAGTACATAAATTAAAAATCCCCTTAATCTAAGTATTAATAAGACCAAGTAGAAAATGTTTCGAGTGTTTGGAGTGATTCATCAGATAAACAAATGAAGAAAAAAATTAAAAGCGTATATTATATGCGTACAATACCAGCGTAACAAAGTTGTTGAATTAACATGTATTCATATTCTAATATAAACCCAACCCAACCCATTCATGATTCGTTTTAGCGGGTCATGACATTTTTCTAGATTGTGGTGAAGACTAATCATTCTTATGCCTCTTGGTTCATGTTAATGTAACATCTCAAACATTATCAACGAAATGAAGTAAACGTTTTAGTTCATTGATCATCATTATATTTGTGAACAAAGCTAAATTTTCATGTGATGATGCCATGACAAGGCTAATGTTAGAAAGTTCTCACATGCACGTTGCTTACATTCATAGTAGTTGTTAAACTTACTTTTTCTATGCTATGAAGGTTTCGAGAGACCAACTCCATGTAATTGTGGACAAAAGTGAGCACTGCCATAAAAGAACACTAGTACGTTTCTGTCAAATATTGCAAGACAAGTCACAAAAAGACATAAAACCAAAGGAAGCAAGGAGAGTACTGAAACTATCAGAATCCTGCATAGTCCTTCCACAAAAATAATGTTATGTGAATAGCAAAGAATCTATATCATTTTAAAAAAGGAAAGTTGGGTAGTTTGTAACTTTGTATCGTTTTTCTCTGAGTTGACAGATCGTGTACAGAATTAAGAGACTTGAATTTCATATAACAAATAAATTTTTTTGAGGATTTAGAAAACTGTTTGTTAAGACGTCTTTTTTTCTATATCTCACATGTTGACGTATTTTGTGCATATTTTCAATTCCTATTTAAATGGCAATCATTTTGTATTTCATTACACGCGGTTCCTTCCATGCATACTTCCCAAATTTGTAAAATATGTTTTTCCTTGTACTTTTCGCGATGTTGTCATTATTTGAATAATGTTTAACTATCCAGTACTTTCTTTTCTTTGCATATTCAAGATCCTAAGTTTATGCACATTTCTGATAAAAATTTGTCAGTCTTCTCAGATTCTTGTGACGAAAGTATGATGTTAAGTAAAGTATATTCAAAATATATATGTATCAATCTAAAAAAAAAGAAAGGTGTTCCTAGCAACAATTAACCTCTTGTATTCCCAACATTCGATCCATCTTTGAATTCAAGTCCCACATTTTTGTATCCAACTTGAGGAGGAGTATAAAAGATCAAATTCACAATCAAAATTTTGGCTTACATTGTATTTTTGGTATATGTTATTTGTTCCTAACCATATTAACACCAGAAGTATGGTTAAATATAAGATGATCTAGATCTTAAAAGCATTTTAACACGAACTATGTTACATTTGTGGCACTACGACACAAAAGACTAAGTTAGATATCAGAGTAAGCCGCAGATAGAATTCCATACTGATATGAAGATCCCTTCAATCTCAAGGGTGGCTAGTGGAAACAGGGATGAGCTATAACCCAACATCCTGAGTTCGAATCTTGACAACTTCATTAGAGACAGACCATGAAAAATTTATCCCCTTATGAATTCTCTAGTTCCAACACAGATAGTCTGCCTTTAACCGAACTAGATGGGGGATTAGTGAAGGTGCACATAAGCTGCCACAATTCTAATTCTTGTGTTAGTGATAATCTCAAACAAAGTGCCAAGCCAACTCTTCATTGAAAGTCAAAACTCAAACCACATTGTTAGCTATAAACATCAGAAAATTCTGATAGATTAGTATGAAAGTGCCAAATATATAGAAAATAGGTAGCATGAATGTAAACTGAGATATCTAAGGGTATGCCAACAATATGTCATGGATAACAAAATTAACTGATACCGTTGAGCATAATTCTTGCAAGACAGTGTAATAGCTTGGATGCTGCAAGTAAAACGATGACTCTAGAGAATCGAACTATATTGTAATTGGTAAGGCCGATACATCCCATCTGGATAATAAGCCTCAAGCAAAAATTCAGATAATAAGGTTGCAACAAAAAAATTCATTGTCAAATAGTACTAAAATAGGCCCAAAGGACATGATAAATTAAGGCCAATTGCTGCCAGAAGTCTGGAAGAGGGAAAACAATCTTTATTTGCTGTTTTGTTCATTTCTTTATCCAGGAAGTGGCAGGACATCAGGTTACTAGAATCAGATTTTTTGAGGCAAGATCAATATGCTACACAATAGCATTTTGATATTTTAAACTGTTCTATTATGCTGCTAAAGATTACTTAATTAACTGACATGACCTAAGATTGGTACTGACATTGTTTTTAAAAATCTCTGACTCTCAAATCAGTGTTCATCAGTTCATAGGTTCCACAAAAACTGAAAAAGAGGAAGCAATAATGCATAACTAATATCCAAGGACTCATTTGGTATACCATCTTCTCAAATACTAGGTTTTGATGAAGAAACCTAGTCAATTATTTTATATCACCGAACAATGGTGATTGACATTATGGAGCAAGGCTACCAATATGAACTAGCAGAAAATCAATGCGAGCTGCAAATTCAGTTATCTGTATTTCCACAAAATCCACAAATCACAAATAAAACACTCAAAATAATCAAAACCAATATAAGGGAATTTCTACTACTATACTATAATGTTTGTTTTACTCTGTAACAATCGAGAATAATATTGCTCGGACATAATTTGTTGACATAATTCATTGCAGCCCTCGATTAGCAATTGGTCCTACCAATAATGGGATCAACAGTCAATTCAACAACAACAATTTATGAAGTTAAAGTAGATCTAAGATAACATCATCACTCGCCCTATAAACATATGAACAAAAGAATATATACCAAGTCCAAACCTAAGAAGCCCCAAACTTTCCATTCCCCTCATCAGAAATCTCCAGCATACGCACATAGATATCATCAGCCCCCTCAAAAAATTCCATTTCATCCATAAAAAAGTCATCTGCACCATTTTCTACCCCAATTCCTGCAGAATCATCACCATCTCCACTGGCTTCCACTTTCAAGTCCAACTCTTCAACAGTCTGAAGAACGGTCTCATCTCTCTTAACTCTGATCCCTCTACCCATCAGCTTCTTGGTATTCTTCAACACAGACTTCTTCCTCTTCATTGTCACTTTCCCAGATTTAGGCACCTCTGTTTGAACTCTTCTCTCACAACCATTACTGCTCTCACCCCCATTCGTCGCTTCCTCTGTTTTCTCTTTCCCACCACTCAAATTATCAAAACTCTCCCCAGTTTTACTCACAATTTCATCGCTCATATCATCACTATCATCAGAAATTTCAATGAAACAATCTCTATCCCACGCATTACCCTTCTTATTCGCATCATTCTTCTTCTTTTCCTCCACTTGAGGAACCAAAGGCGAAAAGGGCATCCAAGGAAAAGACCCTTTATCTTCAGGCCCAAAAGGGAAAAACCCAAAACAACAATACTGACCCTTCTCCACCACCTCCCTCGGCGGCGGTGACGGAATCGCCACTGCGTCAAACCCTCTGCTACACTTGTCGTTCTGACACCTCAGACAACACTCCTCATACATCTTTTCATACTCAAACACATAGTAACAGTAGGGACACACAGTCCAAAAAGTGTCATCCTCAGAACCAACACCACATTGTCCGTTCATTGCTTCACTACCCAATTCTGGGTACTCTTTCTTATGTGGAAAACAACTCTGTTTTTGACACTTCTACTGTGATTTTCGAGTTTTTTAGGGTAATTTTCAGGCGGGTTTTAGGGTTTTTGAGGCTGCGAAGACAGCGGTGATTTGGATAGGCCGGGAAAGGTTGCGTGGATTTCTTGGGCTTTAAGTGAGAAGAGGAATTGTTTTGCTAGCGATGGAGTTTTTGGTGGACGCTTTTGGTCATGGTTTTTTAATAAAATTGCTGGGGCCCCGTGATTGTGTTGATTTTAAATCTGGACCGTTGAAATGGGGATGGGGATACGATGGTGGGTTGTGATGTTCACGTACGGTGGATATGGGAGGAGAGAGAAAAAGTTTTGGAGGTGGGAATATTGGTTGGGAATAAGGGTAATTTGGTCATTTTAATTGTGAATGTACGGGATTGATTACAGGTGGAAACGAGTCAACTCAGTTTCTTGGGCTGCAATCTTCCGTTTTTTTTGTCTTTACCCTATTAACAATTCTAAGAAATCAATAAAGAAACACGTGGTATACATTTTCGCGCCATCTTGTTACGACGTCGTCTGGGAAATTGCCCTTCTAAAACTAAAATAAAATATAATTATAGGAGATCTCATTACTTACACTTGATCTATATCTCTTTAATATATCTTTTATCAATGTTTTTAATGAAAAATCATTCATCTTGCCTTCGTACGACATCTATTTGCGTTTAGTGAATTTCAGTTGAATTTATAATGAATATTTTATCGTAGACTAAATTGAAAAAGATCTGAATCATGGAGGTTCTAAGTCTTAGAATCATGGAAGTTCTAAGTCTTAGAATCTAGGAGTTGTAACATTTGCAAGTCTATTTTAAGCAATTGCACTCCTTCTGTAGGTGAGTGGGATAAAGGACACCACTACCGTACTAAAAGATGTATCATATCTGCAATTACAAGTGTTACACGTAGATAGAGACTAATCATCTTATGTGGGTCGAGTTAGAATTCAATAGTATCAAACTACCCTGTTTTGTCATAATCTCACCAAATTAAATCGTGACCTCACCCTTCTTCGACATGGTACTGAAAAACTATACCCTCTATGGAACCCTATGGACAGCCTCCAGGTCCAGCTTCATCTTCAGAGGAACTTTGGTCCCAACATGCAGTAATACAACCTACACATGACTCAAACTAAGCAATGGCAAATAGAAAGGGAAAAAACCTTATTTATATACAAAGATTCATTTCCTGAATGGCCTGAAAAATGCAGTTCTATAACTTCCCTTCATTTTTTCCAAGAACCGTGTTCTTTCCAACAATGAATGAACAGATTGGAAATCGAGAGACAGACACCACCCCAGGGGGGCTGGGAAGGATGGCTCTCAAACTGTAAGACCTCTTCAACCATGACGGCATGTTCAACTTGTTACAAGATTTTTCCTGATGAGCAGAACAAGTCCCCTGTCCTTCACTTCCCGTACCCCAACTAAGAAAAAAAGAGAAAAAAAAAGAGGCAGAACGAGTGTATATATTGAACTAAATAACATCATTTTCATGTAAACAAGGCAAAAACTAGTGGCTCTGACCGAAAAACAATCCATTAGATTCTCCCCATGGATCACTTTTCCTGAAGAAAGCTCCTAACAAATGTCAACCAAAAGAGTAGCTGGTATAAATTAGTTTGCATATGCCAAGATCACGGCTTCATTGGTCATGACCAAGAGCAGCAAGCAAAAAGAACTTGGCGAAACTGACTTTGGGTTTATCCAGACACCATTCTCTCCTGTGAGGCATTTCTGCTGGAATTCTGCAACATTCTCCGAAAAGAAAATACCATGCATGTATAAATCCCCGTTGAAGCCACAATAAATGCTCCAATAAAGACGCAAGTAGTTGTAGCACAAACATACATGTACCTGGGTGGAAGAACAAACACCATTAATTTTGCTACGAAATATGCAATTTACTGAAAGAGGTATCAGAAGAAATAAGTAGTGTATTTCACGAATGCTGCTTTATTGACTACTAGCTTCTTTGAAACTTGGGGACTCTAGAATGAATTCCAAGTATCTTCAGATCTCCTACTACTAAATTAGGAAAAGTTCAAAAATGTAAGGTCTATTTCAAGAAGGAAATTAATTCAGTGAAGGCTTCGCTGATGACTATCCTATCGGAGGAGACAACTCGGGAATGGTAGGAGCCATCATAGAACATTTTGAGTAAACCTGCTTTCCTCCCTATTTGTGGGAATAGAATATTTCAGTGGCAATCAAGGTACCCTTGGCTCAATTCCTTTGAGGTAAAAACAGGGAAAATATGATATGCAGATCGGAGTAGATGCTTAAGCTTATAGCTTAAAGGATCTGTTAGATTCTCCCTTAAGGCTTATATCTAAGTTTTAGAATAGTTCATGTGCACACTGTCAGCAAACCAGGGAGTCATTTTCGTTTGGGATCTGGGCCATATATATTACCCCATAATTTATGGGGAGTGCACTACCAAGGAACACCATGCTCTCTTTTGAGCCAGTTTTGCTCCCTCTATCGAAGTCCAAGACTAAAATCAATCTAGTTGTAAGGTCATTAATCCCATCCAGGTTTCAACATCGTATCGGTCATCGACTCGGAGGGCTCAGAGATACATCGGTCCAGGAGTCGCGGCGCGATATAAAGTGATACAATCTCAAAGCCAATGTTGAACATGATGAGAGATTCAAGTCATATCGCGGCATCACAGAACCGAAATGGTCGATATGGTGACAATAACTCAGCGACTCGGGATTGTCTTAGCCTAAGTTGTGCGAGGCTCAAGGTTTATAGGCATCGTGTAACGACATCTTCCAATGCCGAGTTGGCCTACTTGTATCGAGATCGGTCAATACTTTGAACCATAATCGCATCTGTGAATAAAGTTGGAAAAAAAAAAAAAACAACATATCAAAAGGAGTCTAAGTTGTCCTAATTCTTGGTTTACAGGAGCAAGGATCGCATCAACTGCTCTCCCCAGGCCACAATTTCTACACATGCAACATTGAGTAACAACAATTTGGAGTTCAGTAAGACTTACTTTGGAGAAAAGACGCTCCAAACAAATAAATGATTCCTCATTAACAGCAATACAATAGTATATGCAACCAAAAAAATGGAGTTCAAGCCCAGGGGAACCAGACAAGGAAATCCAACAGTCATCTTGAGAAGATGTCCAAAATCCACATCCTGAGCATTCATAAGTGGGATTGTGTCCTTCAGAGAGATGTACATCACCATGCTAAGAAGAACTAGCATTGGGGATGCGTATGTAATTACGAACATTAAGATGCCAGAAAATAATGTCGAGTGATTGGAGATGCCCTGACATGGTCAAGCCAATGGAAGAAAAATAAAATAAGCCCATGCATTATTTTCAAATAAAATGAAGAGGAAAAAGATTCAAGCATGACACTCGTATTTAACCCAGCCAGGTGAGGAGAAAGTACAATGAAAGCACCGGCAACATCAATCGTAGCCAGGGTATTGGTGTTACCAAGACCAAAATGGCCCGCCATTGCCAAATAATATAGTGCACCCACCTGATTATCAGAAAAAAAGAACCAATAATTAGCCCTTGACACAGCAGTTGCAACACTGGGAACTGGTAACTACAATGATGTCGTTGCATAGAGCACATTATACAGCAAATCAAGTAGATTTTCCCCATCCATATCTAACAAAAGAGGAAGTCAATAATGTTTAGACTCAGATAAATCACAAGGAATTCCACCTGGTTTCTAGTCCTTATAGTAGACATTTCAGATTCACTGAATGCTTTAGGTTTCCAAAACATAGGAAGGTTATGTGTGTTTTCAAAGGTTAAACATTTGAGCAACACTGTCTATAAGCAGCAGTAACAAATGTAAAGGACTTAAATTAAGGCAAATCACGAACATTAGAAAACATTGAGTTAACTTGTTTGCTTGTTATTCAAGCAAGAGAAAAAATCTTGTCCAGTCAAGATCTCTAATATTTCCCCTGTTCTTTCACCCTTGCATTTCTCTGCCCAAGAAAAAAAGAGAGGAAATCCTTTTCCTTTCTCTCCATTCCCCAAATTCCCTTATTAAACCAAAAAGCCAACTCCACAGACTTTCAAACATCTTAACTTAACCCTAGTCTTTATGGATCGTACAGATCTAAGTTTCTTGCTTTGAAAACAATCTGACTCAAATTTTTAACTTGCTTTCAACATAGCCAACGAGGAACAAATTTTGGAAGAAATGGAGATGTTGTAACTGACCTCAACCCACTGCTTAAGATGCAAGTCACTATTAGAATAGTAGCACATGCTAGCCAGGATTTGTATGAGAAGCAACAAAACAGGCATAGAGTTTATGGGTTGTTGTAGCAATAGCTGTAGAAGACACCAGCAGAACATGTATACCCACCCAATCACATAGGTTGAATCTCTAAACCCCCCAAGCAGAAGCTTGCTTTGGACATCAGATAGAACATCGGTTGCCAAGTAGAGATCAGGCCTTGAGCAAGTCTCTAGATTCCGAACTGGCATAAGCCATGGTAAAGCAATCACAATCACCAATGTAAATATACCAAGAATTGTATAAATTATCTGCGCCATTAAAGTGGCACCATAACTTGAGGCAGCAAATCCGCTGTTATTATATTTAATGATGTGTTGCAGAACCAACAATCCTGGAAACAAAAAGATAAACCCAACCACCATGACAAAATTTCTATGTGACGATAACAAAGAAAGAGTGTACAGGCTTAAGCTGATCACAAGGAGACAAGATATCAGGTGGATCGCTTTTATATGAGCACTTCCCGCCTGCTCGAGCCATTTTGAAATGTCAGGTAGATGAGTCCAGTTTACACCACCTTGATGCCAGCCTCTCAATAGTCTTCCAGAAACGAGAATAACAATGGTGGAACACGTTTGAATATAGATTCTTTGATTTTGTCCCCTGATTGCACCAAGTGACCCCTGCACCATCCCAGGGGGGATGCACTGTATCGTTTTACGGAGTAATACCAAATAAAGTGTGGATGTCACAAAATGCCATATATATTGCTCTTCCTCTACCATAGAACTTGACCCCATACTTAAAACAAGGATCAAGATAATAGCCAGGACAAAAGTCTGATCCAAATGCCCCTTGTGCATGTTGTTATTTACGTCAGAGAGGTGAGGCTCTTTCCTCAGGTGAACTTCTCGGCATAATTGAAGGAGGAGGCGCAAAAGCAACATACAAGACAGAACCATTACTGCTAGTCCAGCAGCAAGTAATCCAATAGGTCTCTGCAATATTATAATTTATAATTGTTAAAAGGCATCCAACTCAAAACCCATCAGAAAGGCTCATATACTAGTTGAAGAGTCGTTATTTTACTGGTGTGGGACAAGCTCTAACAAAAACAAAAGGAATAGTTATTTCGTACAACAATACTATAAGAACACCACCACTCCTGTATCTTTTCATTGGATCAGATATTTCCATGGGAACTGATCATCACTGTGAAAGGGGATTCACTTACATTAGTTGCTCTGCGTGATATCCACTGGCTTGCAGTTTTTAGAAACTCCTTATATGCCAAAACAGAGGCACTATAGTCGTCTCTATTATTAGCCCTGCTAACATAAACCAAGAAAGTGAGACTCTTAGCAATTCTTCCAACGGAGCTTGTTTCAGCAATATTACAATTGAAAGTGTCAATATGAAACTACCCGGCAACTTTCTTAGACTTCCATGACTTGTGAAGAGCTGCAGCATCTAAAAATAAGCAACAAAACATCTCCTCTACACCACCAGTGCATTTATTGGCATGGTACCAGTGAAAATCTCCCGAGACATTACATGAGAGACTTCCACAAGCTAAATCAGGTAATTGAACTTCAAGTAATCTAAGTAATTGCCAGGAATTCAACTCCAATGCCCTTAGCTGTTGATCATCTGTAATAGTTAAGTAATTGAGAACAATAAGTTGATGACTAACATTATTCTTTTTGACTTGACGATAACGAGCAAATTACTAAGTAGATAACTAACAAATTCCAGTCTGTCACCTCCAGCTTCTGGAGGTATTAACTTCTTATTCTTTCTCATCTTGCCAATCCTATCATAACTTATTGGTTTTCAGAACTTTGCCCTTTATATTGGTAGTGCTTAATCCAAGAAAAAATGACACTATAGAAGAAACTCTGCACTTTATCTTTTAATTCAGAAATTATCATTGTCCATCAAGTTGAAAAAATGAAGGCCATAGTCCGTTTTCCCCCTCACGATGAAAGATTGAACCAAGACAACCTAAAGATCATCCTGAATATATCAAACCACTAATCTCACACCGGACTTATTTTGGAGCTAAGTGTATAATGTTTGCAAGAAAATCTAAATGCCAAAGAAGCAATATTCATCATAACAATGAGAAAATTTCATAGAACACTGATGAGAATCAGAATGTTTGCATGAACAAAACAAACCAGGAAACTTTCCCACACATACTTGAGCATTACACCTCTCACATAAGGGATGGTAGAAGACAACATTCAGCTAACAGCTGCCAGTGCAAAATTCTATGATCATGACGTCTAATTTAGATGTCACAGGACAAGTACATATTTATATCTCTTTTGTGAACGACATCACTACCAATTAATCCACTGGAATTAAAAGATGCAGGAATATCTATAAAAGATGGCCTCTGAGTCTTGGGAGAAATAAGTAGCACACTTTCATCATCAGATGACGGGATTAACACATATTTATTATCAACTGATTGGAAAAATAAAAAACCAGTATTAACCAAACCTGTCAAAGAATGAAAATTTTCCATAAGCAGGATGCCAACATTGTTTTTAGGAATCGGCACACCAAAAAGAAGAGCTAGTGTTGGAGCAATGTCAACCTGGATCACCAGAATAAGAGGCCAGAGACGATAAGCATAACCAGCTCAATCCCCATTTGAATTTATCTGCTGGCCAGACAGAGTTATGCTAAATAAGACTAGTATGCAAACAAAAATATTTAAATGGCAAAGAACAGAAAGTTGTTGAGGGTAAATTGTCATCCACATGGTTGCTTTGATAGGAAAATGGGGAGAATTCAACATAAAAAAAAAGGAGCATATACTTCTATCACTATTTAGCCACAGCCTTGCAAGCTGAGACGGTCTCTACTCCAAAGGCATTAGGAGTGTAGCAAGAAACAAATGGATTTTGATTTGATTTTCACAACATAACTGTGATACATGACCAAGTTTCTGACAAAAACTAAAACAGATAATGTCCAATATACACCAATACTACTTGTTGCCAGTAAATTTTCATCTTTATTTCTCCATACTTACAACTCTTCCTCTTTGCATATGTTCTTACAATTGTTAATGCCTACACATTACAAAAAATGCTGCTGATGCTGATGAAAATTTACTTCTTAGTTACATGCTTGAGAAAATAGTTCCACCTATTGTTGTTCCAGACTTTCCACCAAAAAATATTCTGAGGCAGTATAATGAGGGGTCTGAACACCACAAACTGAACATGTTCTGCTTATTTTTTGCAAAAGGCCAGAGTACTTTAAAATGAATTACTTGTATTATGCATAAAACTTTTAACAATTGACATGAGTTTTGAGTTTTTTTAGTTAAACGACATGAGTTTTGAGTTTATTTATCTTTTAACCTTTTTTTCCTTTCTTAAGCATGCAAATGATGATTTTGGATTCAAACATATTTAACCATCTTAATTATGACACCAATTTTGTCTTAGCTCCAGGCAACATAATACCTATATTTTCCCAAAGCGGTAGGCAAAGTACATGCCAGTCAACATCATAGTCTGATGGCCAGGTCAGGTCAGCTCAGACAGACACAGTTCAAACATAGGTCACCACTGCTCAGTCATCCAATCCACATGATGTTAAAGCATTAAAGATACAGTCAACACTTCAAACTTGTTTCCTTTTGCCTTAAGTGGTTGCGCGTTGAACACCCTCCATCCTCATGGATCAAAGTGCATCTCAATTAACATATGGGACTAGCCTATCATATAGAAGAGAGAGTCTATCCTTAATTGATTGAGTGTGACCAATGGGCCTTTGGTCCAATGGTACTCCCTGCCTTGTAAAGGCTTCCCTTCTTGAGGTCAAGGGTTCAAGTCCCCCTTCCCCTTCCTCTCCCAAAAAAAAAAAATTGATTGAGTGTGAAACTCTTATAATTAGCAAGCGCCAATTCATTCATTAAAGAAAGATTAGCGCAATCACTATATGATATTTGAATTGAATGAAGGTACAAAAGAAATAGGTGCTTATTGACTAGACAACCAGTCTGATATTTGAATTTGGATTGTCAGTTCAACAGTCAGACCAGTCAATCTGGCATGTCTCTAATACCAATGCACGAAAGCTCTATCACCACTACAAAAGAACTTAAGATTACAAAATGGAGAGACCAATTTTTACAAGATATTTTATAGGAATATGCATGCATATCAACCAGTGCAGATTGTAAAACCCAGTGACAATATAATTAAAAAACAAATAAATATACCAAAGAAGGTGGTACAAAATAAAATGCATTAACCGACTGAAAATGGGTCAAAAAATTAGATCGATCAAGTAAATGAGTTTGAATGGAAATAACATGAAAGCCCTCAAGGAAAATTGGGGTGTGTTTAATAAGCAAGGTGCATGCAACATGCAATGAATATAGTAAGCATTAGAAAGGAGGTTACTGCATCAGATATGACCAAAAGAGTATGATCCAATAAAATGTCATGGTTTTCCTACTATATAATTTAACATCAATCAGCAAAAAACATAAAATAAGCTAAGAGCCTGAGTTGATCCAACATATTTTGGCATCCCAAAGAACAAATCTAGTTCATTTTGCAGGTCTGAAGCTTAACTTCCATTCTGCAGCATCTGTTCTATCTTTTTTTGTGATCTTTATGGAACATTTTTAAAGGGAAGCCCCACTCCTCTGGCCTGGTTATTTGACTTTCCCTACCAACAGAGGAAGTCAAGCATAGGTACAGTACGAAATGTGTTGCATAACCTCAATAAGGATTGCATTTGCATGCAAATCCTCTTAGATCCTAAGCAAAGCATAAGTGCATAAACAGCTTGCGCATATCTACTACTGCAAGCAAAATTCTAAAGTTAAAATACCTGGTGAGCTGTGATATGGGAGGCTGATGCATGATAGTAGTTTCTCAAACCAATAAAAAGAGCCAAGGAATCAGTTTCCTCAAATGAAGACCCCCCATGATTACCATTTTCAGCCATTCCATGATCACTGATTACCATCTACAAATAAAATTCATATGAAACACAGAAAAGTAATATTTTACCTGGATAAATAACCAGCGGTTGAATTCAATGAAAACCAGGAGAATATAGCGTTAAGGATCTCCACAAATTTCAAGTACAAAAATTAGATAGGCTTTTTACTGAACAAGAAGGTTAATTCGATATTAACAATAATACTCATGACATATCATACACCACATTGCAATTTTCTCAGAAGGTAAATTTGAAATTAAATAAGTAACTAAAACCAACAGAAACAATATAAAATTGGACAAAATTCACCATTTGGAAAGAATTTTCTTCATAGGAATGTTGGTTGGCTTAGAATATATGCAGAGCTAAGAACAAATATGTCACAGACAAGCAAATAGAAAGCATTCCAAGGAAGTAGATAGGTCATAGTAGTAATATCATAACTGTTAGTGCTTTAATTATCCAAATGTGTCAAGTATCTTTGGGATTCAAAACTGGAATTCTCATTCTTTTAGTTTTTTTTTTTTTTTGTGTGTGATGGGGGGTGTTAGCAGCAAGGGCAACTGAAGTCAATAAATACATGATACCAACCTCAATTTCTCTAAGAGTAAAAATGTTATCAGAAAGGAAAAAAACAAAACCATGCACTACTGACTTTGTTGGTTCTCACCATAAAGGTTGGATCCTTGTTTCAATCATCAAATCACTTGAGGACCATATCACAAAGACATTGACCTATGTTTCAGCATTGGACAATGGTGTCTACTATGTTGACCACGTAAAGGAAAAACATCTGCACCTCAGGTGTTAACCATGAAAGAAAAGTTTACTAGAAATAAAATATGCCAGGATGTTAATGTCCAAGCTAAATGATTAACAGCCCAATTATTGGAAAATAATTAGTTATCTGCTTGGTAAAGGGAGGTAAGAAGGGAGTTGGCAAAAAAAAGGCAGCAGAACAGAGGGGGATTTAAATGATTCATTCACCGTAGTATGATAACATACCAGATGTTATGAAACCATGACACTAGCTATAATACTTGTCAAGTATTTGAATTCCAGAACTACATTCAATTATACCATCATCAAGTTTTATGGTACAGTGTCTCATCAGTCGTCACAGCTACATGTTATATGGGGCAATGCAAGAAGCCACAATGATGACATTATCCATGATACACCATCTTTTGATCAAAATGAATTAATCAACATCCAATTATGCAATTATGGCCCGTAATGGTCTTGTGAACTTTTGGGCCTTGGCGCAATGGTAACGTTGCTCCATTATGACCCGAATGTCGCAAGTTAGAGTTGTGAAAACAATCTCTCTGCTTGCAGAGGTAAAACTGCGTACATCTAATCCTCCCCTAATCCCGCAATGGTGGGAGTCTCGTTCACTGGGTTCGCCCTTTTTTAATGGTCTTGTGAACTTTCACGCATGAATTACACTGCATGTACAGGTTCATTTAGTGCTAAGCAATTACTTCTACAGGATGCATAAACTAGACACCGGTTATACCAGATAGCAAGAATAAAGCAGCACACACCAAAAGTGTCCTTTCATTGTCAATATTTCGAGTCTGAATAGTACTCAAGTGAATTTTCTCAATAACTTCATCCATCTCCGTGAGTTTTGGGCCCATCAAGACACTGAAATGGTCAAACAATTTTAAAAATGAATGAAGTTACTTTACCCAGAGCAGAAAACTAGGGTAAAAGGGGAGAGGACGTACCTATTGCGACCACCGGTGTGTCCCACATGATCCAAGCCAAGATAATGAAGAATCTGAAAGAATAGCTCAGATTAAAGTTACTCAACGGACCAATGAAGTTTTTCAAAAAAATTAACTTACTCATCCAAAAATTCAATGCAGATATCTAAAAAAAAAATAATAATAACTTCAAGCACCTAACAGTTAACCGGAAAAATTTGTTATGCTATTATGCTTATTGGACATATTGCAAATTTATCACACAACTACACCTATCTCTTATATATATATATATATATATATATATATATATATATTCCAGAGGTAAACATAAACCAACAAAGAAAATATGAAACAACTCTCATTGCAATAGTGAGGAGTAACAAGGCTAGACAGGTCAAACCAAGCCTACATCAGTAACCTAAGAGTAGCCCTGAGGTTAAAAACCTCGTTTCACAGGTTTAAACAATACTTTCTGCAAATGGGGAAATCTCAATAGAATTCATTAGATAAGCTCGCATGAAAACTGTTGAACATAAAGCAAACAACAATTATTTTCAATTCACAGCTTTGACAATAACAAAAATCTACTTTATAATACCAAATGACAAACCAACCATTACAATCTAGACAGAGCATTAAGCCTACAAAGAGGGGAAGAAAATGAATAAAAAGAAGAAAAATATATAGGAAACAGTAGCTTAGATGCTAAAAAATATGAGGCAAAACTATTTACATATAGATAAAGGTCATTACCCAATTTCGTTAACCAAGGTGCCAGGCGACGTGGACTAGGTGCAAACCAAACATTTGGCAATTTTTTGCACAAATTGGTCGCAAGAAACTAGAAAAAGTCAGAGTCAAAATGGAAGAGGGAGGAAAGTAAACTACCAGCATATTCCAGTCAGTCCGATTAAGTTCTTCATTCAAATGTCGAGAAACATTGTGATCCACGTGTACCGTATCTTTAACCTGTAGCAAGAATTCATCAGCGTATCAACCAGGAGACAAATGATACGAATGATGTACAACTGATAATTGCTGTCTATCTAATGCCCTAACAACAACAATAAAAAATTATAAATAAAAAAACAACCCCGGAAAAAATGCAAGTGCTACAATTAACCCAAAAAGCATTGGCAAATAGTCAATCAGTCAACAGAAAAATTTAATGATTTTGACCCACTTTGGAGGAAATCAACCATGTTATCAGAATCAACGCAGAAAATTACATAAAACTTCTATATAACTGCCGCCAAGGAATAATTGTAGATCATTACTCTCTTGTAGGAAGGGGGAAATGTAATAGTTTCAATGTCATAACTATCTGGAATCTTCCTTTTCTTTCAAAAAAGCTTCTTCTCCAAAAACACTTACAGAAACTTGCAGGGGAAAAGGGAAGCCTCCAAGGAATACAAGCAAAAAAGGAAGCATGGGAATGCTAGCATTACAGAAGACTTACAAAGAAACTGCTAACTCCATCATGCCTTGTAAATAATCCTGGAAACAACTTAAGCCAGGTCTCATCACCAAGCATCACCATTTTCCAACCAATTCTAAAAAACTGCCCTGCAAAGCAGCCGAGTGAAAAGGTAAATTTACATTACTATTAAAACTCCCAAAACAAAGACCACTTACACAGTCAGTGAAACAATTCCAACATGAATGTACCAACTAACCAATAAGATTGTCATCTGAAAGGGCTTGTGTATTGAAGTTGAATGCAATGTCCAAAAATCCCCCAATCGCTCCTGATACCACAGCCTGCTAATATAGATCAACATGGTGTGGGGACAGCAACATTCACATTGAATTTTAACCGTATATTCAATCAATGACAAATTCAATGACCTTTAAGCGTGGCATTGTAACAGTTGGAGAAGCCGCCTTCGCATGGTAACCAATTGCCATTCCCTTAGCCAACAATGACTGGGTGAATGGCATAGCTTCCACCAAAGCCTTGGGTGGCGGCTTACCATCTTTTCCAAGCACAAACTCTGCTGGAAGACCATCAATAACCTAAACTGACGTGATTGTCACAACAAAGTGAATCTTATCCTCTATATTTCACTAAGAACCAACATGTGATGTTCGTTCAAAATACAAAATCCCATTAACATCAGAAAATAATACCAAACTACATACCATTAATATTAACCGGTCAAATAAAGGAGGGATCTCAGATAATTCCTGCATCATGAAAATTTTCAACACACTTTATACTAACATGTATGTAGCTTCAAAATCCATGTTACACTGCTTTAGATTGTATAAGTAATAAAATAGTAGAAAACATATCAACCAAGATTTTTTGAATTAATTGCATGGTTTATATTCTGAACCATGTACACTGTTTAGTCAATGAAAAACTGGTACATCAAACATTCATTCAGACTTATACAAATTTACAATAATTATCTAAAAATCAGGTCACTTTGTACATTACTGATACAGAACAGCTGGCAACATATTACTTGGAGCGAGAGAACCGTCCCACGTTCAAAACACAATGAACGGTCAAACAGTAATAGTAGAGACAAAATGGGTCAGACTTGAAATTAAGTGGAATTAGTGTCATTTGGTCTGGATAAGGCAAACAATCATAACTCATATCTTTACCGTGGGCTCCTTTAGTTTTGAATCAAATTCTATCGCTTAGACCTTCAAAATCCCATTTTACCATCGTAAAAAAGAATTTTAAAATTAATATTAAATCATAGAAAATTCCGAATTCAGTACCATCAATTTTGTAACTTTTGTTAGACTCCAGATGACATTGATTTTTTGATAATTATTTAGATTACATTTTTTTTATTTTTGATAAATTTGATATAATTAAGGATTTTACTTCCATTATGAGGACGATTAGGTTCTTCACCATTCCTATATATATTAACCTATGTAACACAAATTATTCAATCGATAATATAATATTTCTGAGAGTTTTCACTTTCTTTCCACCGTGGATTCAAAGTATGTGTCCCTTTGCACTTAGAAACGGTAGTTTATTTGTGCCTTCTTGTTCAATTACCAATTGCCTTGTGCAATATATATGATTTAAATTGCCAAAAAACAGTTCAAAAATTCGCAAAATTGGCCGCCAACTGTAAATGAAAACTAACCCGATATAGCGATCTATGGAGCTCATGAGAAATCGGAGTTGTTACATTTTGATTTTGAACAGAACTACACCCCGGTGGACGATAACTCTCCACACCACTGAAATGACCAAGATAGAGAAAATCGTATCAGACCCAGATTTACAACAACAAATATTAGATTTTTAGATAGAAATGGAAGTATATGTTCAAAAAATAAAGGGATTTTCTGTGGGAATAGACTATTCTTTCCTGGGAACCAAACGGAGAGTGATTGTAAAAGCACCTGACGCCAGAGAGAGCTGATTTGACGGGGAAGAACCCTAAAACGAAGAGTAAGAGACCAATGATTTGAATGAACACTGCAATTACTGTGAATAGAGTTAATTTAGTGCATGTTAATGAAGACATTGTTAGGTTCAAACTCTCTGTGGGAGTATGTGTCCTCTCGAGATCGAAGTCTGTGAGAAACTCAAAGAGACTGATGAAAAAGAGAAGAAACAGAGCAGAACAGAAGAGGACACGACGGAAATATAAAATCGATGCCATGACGTCTATTAATATGTACGTGGCCTCCTTTCGAATCAAGGGTATGTGCGTCATTTAACACAACTAAAAAGATAGTATTTTCAGCGAAATGCAATTTTTGCAAAGTTGGCCTTCCAATATCTCTTGTTTCAATTCAGCCCTTATTAAACAAACTTTTAGGATTTTTCATACTTTGCACCTCGAAAAAAGTCTTGATTCTCACTTTATACCTTAAAAAATTATTTTTTTCATATTACACCTTAAATATCATAAATTTATTATAATGTGGCCCTCAGACTAATATCCATTTTAAATTCTATTAAAATTCGATGAACATATCACTTACGTGTGTTATTATTGGACAAAATATAAACTCATCATTTATATTCTTGGGTATCATGTGCATCAATTTTTAATTAAATTTGAAATGGATGTTAATTTGAGGCCCATATTAGAATTAATATATGACATTCAGGGTGTAAAATAAAAAAAAATAATCTTTTGATGTATAAAGTGAGAATCAAAATATCTTTTAGGGTATAAAATATAAAAATCCTAAACTTTTAGGTCAATTAAATGGGCTTTTCTCACTTTGTACCTTAAAAGATTTTAAATTTTTTACTTTATACCTTTAAAAATTAAATTTTTCACATTATACGATCAATATGAGACTAATTTTGACCCTCGTGCAAAACCGCTTCTCCGCACAAGAAAATAAGTTTATGGGTCGTGACCCCAAATAACATGTCATTTTGGTTCGTATCAATATTCTTGTCAATAAAAAAATATTTAATTTTAAAATAATTAATATGATTTATATAAAAAATAATAAAATCCTGATTTTTTATTTAAAATATCAATTAATTATGTTATTTATATCTAATCTTAAAATAAATTATTTATTATTTATGTTAATGAATCATGTAATTTTTGATTTAATATCGTATTGGGTTTGACAAGAAATATGAGTTGGTTCCACAGCCCTTGGGCCACATTTGAAGTCCAACGCATAAATCATATCAAGCTTGAACCCCCAACATAAGGAAAGGATTGATCACTCAGCCCATGATCAGACAAAAAAGCGGTGGGCTATCCAGATTGAGTTAGTTCCCGGATTTACTTCTTTATTAAATAATAAAGTAGTTTGGATTATGACTTTCTCGAATTACAAAATATTTAGCTTAATCAAAATTCTAAATTTTTTTTTTCTTACAAAAACCGAATTCAAGTGATGTGTTGTCAAGTTCGAGTTGGCTCATCTTGAGTTGAATAAGTTTCTATTAATAAAAAATCTTTTTTTTTTTTGTGTAATGTTTTGCTTTAGAAATTGACGTTAGTGTTTACTCAACTCCGAATCAAATGCTCGTAAATTTTTATCAAATTGAGTTTGAGCAAATATCGACGTTCAACACTTGAGCTCAAGCTATTTAGTAACAATCGAATCAAATTTATACATACTCAAACTCAATTAACACCATTTGTTCACGTCATTCATCGAGACACACATACTCGAGTTTAACTCGAATGTTTAAAAATGTCAAGTAAATCAAATATGAATAAGAAATCCTCCCCCCCCCTCCCCACCGACCCAAAAAAAAAAAAACCAGAAAACACCCTAGTGGATGCTAATGCATTCATTTCCAGATCTGCCCGAGGGGCTGAGATTATGCAATAACAACAGTAGAAGGATGGTTGACAGGCAAGTCAAGTTTTACATCTAACACAAACTACGATTTGTGAAAAAAAATGGTAAAAATAATTACCACACTAATGGTACAAGTACATGATAAATCATCTACAAAAATAAAAAATAAAAAATTATATCGAAAAAAGAGACAAAAATAGTTATCACACAGCAATAAAAATACCAACAATAATGGTAAAAATATCTACAAAAATAATAAATTTTTTGATTATAAAATAACTCACAAAAATTATAAAAATACCATTTAAAATAATAAATTTTAAAGATACAGAATTTTTTTCATCGGTACCGTAATTAAGTCGCAGAACCTATATTAATAGAACTACGAGTCTACTGATTTTGTTTGTGGCTATCGTACTAATTTCGGTACTGTAACTCCATTCAATTTTAGTCAGTGGTGTAAAATTTGGAGATGTTCGGTAACAATACTCATGCTTGTAGAACCAATGAAAAGATAGTTAAGTGATGTTTGCACTTCAAACCTATGTGGAGTCGGGATAAGGCTACTTCGTTTCATCAAATCATTCAGCAGATTTTAAGGAATTCACTGTTGGACGATCACTGGGATTGAAAATATTTAATCCTTGCAGTGATGAGCCCTCCATCCTATTCTGTTGGGTCGTGTGATGCAGTACAAAATATGTAAGATAAAATTAATTAATTGTAAGGGTTAATCCGATAAGGTACTTGCAGTCAAGGCTAACATCATCAGCGCGATGGTTGTTAGAATTTGACATAGAATGTGTCAATCCTAAAGCCATAAAAAAATAAGTTTTGGCAGATCTACTAACACTTTAGAAAAACATATCCAACTTTTTTAAGAAATTGTTGGCAAAATAAAAAAAAAAAATTCTTTTTATTCACATTTAACCACTTACTCTAATAAAGCAATGATCAAGTGAAAACTTATAAACATACCACACATCCAAATCTACCCGATGTAAGATATCCGGGTGTGTGCGTGTTTATAATTCTCCACTTAACCCTTATTCTGTTAAAGTAAATGGTTAAATATGAATCAAAAAAAAAACCTATGATGCCTTATGTGTGGAGCGCTTATTGGTGGGCTAGAAACCCACTCTTTGGATCGTTAGTACCTTACAGTCATGATAATTGTATCGGGGAGGTGGGGTACTGAGCTATCCCACATCGGGTGGCTTCTGGTGTGTGAGTGTATTGAAGTAAAAAAGTTCTGTACATGAATTTAAAAGTCAAAGGCTAAGCTATTTTATCTTATAATCAAATTCACCCACAGTGCAAAATTTAAAAATATACTTCATCAAATCAAAAACAATGTTATTGTAAGACAGCTCATAGTATCAAATCAAAGGAATAGCTAAAACCAAAAAGCAGATGCTCTCTTCATATAATATTAGTTAAACTTCATAATCCTGCCAATTTTTGTGAAAAACACCCACAAAACTACTAATTATTAATACCAATATGAGTCGTTTATTATTTACACTAATTGGATCATATCACTTTTAAAATTATATTGAACATTAATCAATCTTAACTAACTAATTTTACATTTAATTTGCGTTGATATTTGTTACGTTAACTAATTTTCATCGGGTTGAACGTAATAAGAGGATCAATTTTTTTTAATATTTTTATTTTTTTAGTAGATCACCTATTATATATTAACGATGGGCCTACTTCTATATAATGCATATCACTTACGACTTCTTATTATTATATATAAATGAATTTTTTTATTAATTAACAATAAAAAATATATTATAGATGATTTAAATTCCGACATGGAGCAGAAATTTCCGGGAACCGAAAATGGCAGAAAAAATGGCTTTGGTTGAGTGCCCCACCACCACATCCCCCCATGTTTATGAAATTCTCTTTTATTTATTTTTATTAAGAAGGAAAATTGACTTTCAACAGAAGACAAAATTTTTAAAAGAATTAAAAAAGAAAAAGAGAGGAATTCATTGTTTATATACATGTATATATAATTTTATATTTAATTAATTTATTATCCTAATATTTTATCACGTTTTCGTAATCCATATTTTAACGAATCACTCTACCCATATTATCCTATTGCTAACCTTTTTTTTATTGACGGCTTTACGGACGACATTCAATCATTAAACTTTTTTATTTTTTTGATAAGCAATAGTTTAACACTTTTTTTTGGTTTAACGGTTAAAAATGTCTTGATTAATTTATGCGTATCTTAACTAATTTTTTTTTTCATCTGGTTAAAAGCAGGTCATCCATATTAGAACTAAAATATTCGTAACAGAAAAATTCATCATAACTTAACCTCAAGAATCATTTACCATGACAATAATGATAAAAAAACAACAGCAACAATATAAAAAATAGGAAAAATTTTAATCACACCCTCTCTAGTTTATCATATTTTCAACGACACTCCTATAGCGTCTGAATCTTCAATAACACCCCCTGTCAGATTAAAAATATTAAGTAGAATGCAATTTTACTAAATTGTCCATGATATATTTGATGACAAACTTCATCCACACACCCTCTAGATAAACATATCTTCAATGAGACCCCCTCTAAATAAGTATATTTTTAACGAGACCCCCTCTGTTTTCTAATTTATTTTACGTAATTAAATTCGAACCGATTAAAATTATATTTAAGCTAATTAAAATTTATTTTTTTACATATTAAAATTTGTGCCAATTAAAAATTATATATTTTTTTACATAGAATTTGGGCTAATTAAAATTTTGTTTGAGCCAATTAAAAATTATTTTTAAACGACTCAACTCAAATTTTAATTAATTCGTATTGAATTTTAATTAGCCCAAATTTTAATATGTAAAACTATATGAATTTTAATTGACTTAAATTTTAAAAAAAAATCTTATTTTAATTGACACGAATTTTAATAAGTGAAAAAATATAAATTTTAATCGACTCGAAAGAGAATTTTAATCGGCGCTAATAACTCGGGTAGTGTTCAAATCCGCTCAAATTTTAATATGTAAAAAATAAAAATTAATAGGCACAATTTGTTTTTAAAATTTACGAATTAGTAAATAACAAATTAGTATTTACTAATAAATTATTTAATAAAATTGTTATTTATGATTTTTTTTTAAATTTTAACGGCTCAAATTTTAATAAAATTTTATGTAAAAAAACTACTTGAGGTTATGTAAGGGCATTTTTGATATTTTAGATGAATGTTTTTTTGTTAGAAATAGTAGTTTAATGGTAGAGGTGTTAGTGATGTTTAAATTAAACTAAAAGAGGTGTCATTGAGGATTTAGAAATTATAGGTTGTATCCTTAAAGATATGGTAAACTAGAGGTAGTATCGTTGAAAATTTTCCTAAAAAATATTCATAAAAATAATAAATGTCTAGACTATTTTTTTTTTTTTTTGAGCAAAATAGACAACTCATAAAAAAAATTGTACTCAAACTGCAGTTAGGAAACAAAATGAAAACATAAAAAAAGTTGAAAAGAAAAACCCCGTAAATCAATGGTAACTCATTCCTGCTCCTCCTCTTTTCATACTATACTCTCTTTTTAGCCAATTTCACCAACTATAGCAAAAGACATTGACAGGGAAAGGGGCCTGCTTCCCCATAAAAGGCTCTCTTTCTTTTCTTGGTACAAAAAAACAGCCCCTCTCTCTCTCTCATTCATTGGTGACCTTTTTCCAACAGTTTCCAAAAACCAAACCAAAGTTACCACCAGACCCAGCACACACACGCACACACACTCTCTCTCTCTCACACACACGCACACACTCTCTCTCTCACACACACGCACACACTCTCTCTCTCACACACACATCAACAGCCCCAAACTGGCATGGAATAAATTGTCAATTAACCAATCCAATAACCCTGTTACACTTTAAGCCAGTGTCCTATTGGTGGGTCTTTTCTAAGACAAGTCCTCGTCTCGTCTTCTGGATCTGCAAAAAATGGCCAAGTGGGCGTTGTCTCTGACTCAGGTCATCTTTTTCTCTCTCTAGGGTTTGTGTCTTTATCATCTCCAAATTTGGCAAAGAACCACCATCTTTGTCCAAAACCGGTCCCAGAAAAAGGGTTTTTCAACACTTCCATTTCATTTCATTGTATGCTGGTTTATTCTGTGAGGTGGGTCTGTTGATTATTGCTTCCTCTGTGTGATAATAAACCTACGTGTACACGACGAGATGACGAGAGAGAAGATTCAGATCAAGAAGATCGATAACACAAGCGCGAGGCAGGTTACTTTCTCCAAGAGAAGAAGAGGGCTTTTCAAGAAGGCTGAAGAGCTCTCAGTTCTCTGTGATGCTGATGTTGCTATCATCATCTTCTCCTCCACTGGGAAGCTCTTCGAGTACTCCAGCTCCACCTCCAGGTTTCTCTCTCTATATATATGTATATATCATCTTTCCGTAATATCAGTGATGTAGATTAATACTTACTGAGGAAAAAAGCTAACTAAGTTTTTGAGATGGAAGTGTAATCAGTAGTTCCTCTCTCTAACCTGATGAAATTGTTATATTGGGATACCAAAGAATATGTGGCTGCCGTAATATCAGTGCTGTAGAAAAAAGCTAACTGGATTTTTGAGATTGAAGTGTAGTTTCTCTCTCTAAACTGATGAAATTGTTATATTGGGATACTAAAGAATATGTGGTTGCCGTAAATCAGTGCTGTAGATATATACTTACTGAGGGAAAAAGCTAACTGGGTTTTTGAGATTGAAGTGTAATCATGAGTTTCTCTCTCTAAAGTGATGAAATCGTTACATTGGGATACCAAAGAATCTATGGCTGTAATATTGTTGTTGTTGGAATTCTAAATGGAGTGTTATGACTGACGAAATGGGAAGAATCTTTTCTGAAAATATGCTTGAGGTCTAATTTGTTGTACTGTTTGCTAGTATGTGATTGAGCTTATTATGGTTTGTTGGTTGGGGTTTGTCAACAGGTTCAGTTTTTTGTGTCTGGGTTCTTTGTGGTACATATTTTCTTCTTTTGCTTCTTTGTTGTTTGTTGTTCAGAGTTGTTTGTCCCAATGATTTTCTGTAAATGTGTACTTCTTGATGCTTTCACAACTTTAGTGGGAATATTGCAGTGTCCTTCATCCTTCATGGTTAGTGTTGTTTAGTTTGTTTTCATGACATTGTGCTACTTGTACTTGTATGATGGTATTGATCGTTTGCTGTAACATATGGAGAAGTCCACACTACCCAACAAAATTTTTGCATCATCCCGACATTTACAAGTTTTTAGGTTTTTTTTTTTTCTTACAATTTTTAAGATTCGTTTACAATTGTTTGCGGCTTTAGCATCAATACTAATAACTTTGGGATCGATCTTCTAAGTACCAAACAAAGTTATAAATTGGCCCAAATTTTTTTTAACTTGAACCCTAAAAATTATAAGATGATCCAAAAAAGCTATAAATTTTTTAGGATCCTATCGATCCTAAATTCTTTAGTTGTGAACAAACTCCAAAGACTTGTATTTTAACTTGCAAAACTTGTGAACTTAGATACTGTAATTCCTGCGGTACTGAAGTCGAATCCGTAATATATGGATCATTTAATGTAATTGATCAACTTTTTTCCTTCTAAAATTGCCAACTGTGGTGATGTTGCGCACCATTTAACCTAAAATATGACCTTGATAAAGTACAATTAGTATCAATTTTTTATCGAGTTGAGATGAGTTGAGCTTATTGTTATTATAGGGACGGTGATGTTAGTGTCTTACTAAGTCATATGCGTAGCTATATGCTTTAACCGAGACAACTTGTTTTAGGTAAAATGGTAATCTAGATGCGCGATTTGAATGTCCTTAGATTCCATGGAAGCTTTGTAATACGACAGTTTCATCCTTTCTTTCAAAGTTGAACAAAGCTCAAAACACGTCCAGTTGAGCATACAAAGCAATTCTCAAAGGAGATTGTACACCTTTCTCATACAACCTAACAGACTAGGTTCACAAAATCACGATTAGTATCCAATGGAACTTTTCATTTTGGTTTTACATTTTTTTGCTCAAAAGAATTCATAACGTTGAAACCCTTGTCTGATGAACATGCACCACTTGTAAAACTCATTCAATTATCAATTATAAATACCCTCTGTGCCCGCAAGCCCCGCTACCTGCCAGGATTTTTAGTTGGGGGAGGTAGTCATTGTTCTCTCACTTGAATTGTCGTGATGGCCACCAAGACTTGTTATATATCTTTTTGTCAATCTCTCTTTTCACTGACCCTAGAGTTCTTGTGAGACCTCCTGCTAAGCGTTCATTACTGGCTGGTGCTGATATACTTTGGTGGCTTTTGGCAATGAACCTCGTATTGGACTTTTTCCAAGTACATTTTAATCAGAAATGACTCTGATGTCACTGTGTTGTAGATCTACGGGTAGAAACAAAACAGAATATTAGGAGATTGAACACCCAACACTAGCTTTCTGTAGTAGTTTTTTTTTTGTTGAGGTAAGTCTATGGGGATTACTGGCAACAATCTGCATACCTCTCAAGCAGGCAAGAACTTGTCACCTGTTTTGTTTGCTGTGATAAGCTAGCTTCTTATAATTCTCAAGCACGATCAATACGACTTTGTAAATTTACTTTAAAAAAAAAGTAATTGCAATCATATTGATTACAACTACATTCAAGTTAATTGTACTTATCTCATAGATTAGAGTACACGTTGTATTTATATAAATTTCACACGTAAATCTCAAAATGATCCTTTATCTTTTACTTGTTGGCAACAAAATGGATCGCTAAAGTTCCATGAGGAAAGAGAAATCTAACCAAAAAGAAAATGAAGTTAACCTTAGCTGGCTTCAACCGTATTCGTATGATGTATCTTGTACTGAAGATGTTTCATAATTCAGCTCCTGTTACCCATTGATACTTTCAATCGACTTCAGTTTTGATTAATTTTGGTCAATACTAGCATATAACTTTGTTTATTTTTCTTTTGTCTTCTGAAGCATGAAGGGAATTCTGGAAAGGCACAATTTGCACTCAAGGAATCTTGAGAAACTGGAGCAACCCTCTCTTGAGCTGCAGGTGAGTTTCTTTCTGATTTTTTTTAATGTGGTTTTTTGGCGAAGCATTTGAAAAAATTCTTCAACCTGTGATAAATTCTGCCGGCGCAGATTCATATTTGCCTCTTTGGTCTTGGATTTTGCTGCAGCAATTCCAATTCCTATACTATGTGGGTTTTCATGAACCTCGGGTGTTCTCTGTAGCATAGCACGGATGAAAATAAGCCTACTCTTCTAGCAGTTATTGAAGGAAATTAGTTTAAACCTCTCACAGATTTGTTACTGCTCCTTGACACATTGTTTCTTTCAGTTTTCTCTAAGTTCGGGGAATACCCTCCTATATTTCAAGTCTTACATCCATCGATAAATTGTTTATCTTTCCCAAAAAAAAAAAGGATCCCAAGTAAATATTTTGGGATCTATCTGACATTCCATCATTTATTTGTGAATCTATTTTCTCTTTTTCATTTTTTCCTAAAGCAATGAGACGATTTGTAATGTAGCTTGTAGAGAACAGCAACCAATCCACGCTAAGCAAGGAAATGACAGAGAAAATCCATCAGTTAAGGTATATGTTTGTGGTATTATTTTCCTTTTATGATATTTATGCATACAGAACTATATAATGTTCTTGAGAACAGGCAGATGAGAGGTGAGGAACTCCACGGGATGAGTATCGACGAATTGCAACAGCTAGAGAAGTCCCTTGAAGCTGGATTAAGCCGTGTGATACAGAAAAAGGTTGGTATTAATTTGTTTACCGTAAAAGGCTTGTAATATTAATTTTGCTTACCGTCAACGTTTTTGTAACTCTTTTTCTTGGCCTCACTGGCTGTAGTCTGTGGTTTGTGTTAATGCATAACCAGATTATGTAATGTGTCAGGGTGAGAGGATTATGAAAGAGATCAGTCAACTGCAACAAAAGGTAAGGAACTAAGAACCTGTTTCATATTGTTTTTATCTCTTCTGTTTTACGACAAAATGAACAAATTCAAAACTGAACACAAAACATTATCAAGCGCAGCCTAAATTGTTGGGGTGCAAAGTGTAACACAAGGAAACAAAGAAATATAAAATGTAAGCTTAGAGAAGAAAGGGAGCAAACTAGAATCGCATTAAAGTGTGTAACGATTACACATAAAAACTCTCAATACTCGCACTGCTGGAGCTCTTTTCACTCATACAATATTATATCTCACTCTCTATATTGCATTCCATGGCTGAACCAACTAGCCTTATTTATAGGCTTACTAAACCGCCAATACACTAAGCAGCCTCATAAAGCCGCCATTCTAGCATCATCCAACCAATGAAACACAAGAGCTTCAAGGCTAAGCTAGCCAGCTAATGACCAACTTATTAGAGAAACTTCCAGCCGTGTGTCTTGCTCCAGCTTGCACCTCCTTGGCTCTAGCTTGCAGCATTTAATGCTTAAGTTTTTCACTTGATTCAGTATCACTGACAGGACTCTGCAACATTCTAGACATTTTCTTAAACCGACAGTAATAAAATAAATTACAAATTATATTTTCAAAATAAATAACTTTGTGAACCAAAGACAAGTTAATGATGAAAGAAAAACAATCTGACATGGGTTTCTGTCAAAGAATATATATCCAAAGTACTGTTGAGCCACTTACAAAGTGGTTTGAGTCCACTGGAAATTGATATCTAATGAGACATTGCCCTAAATTTACCAGTTTTTCCAGTTTTATTTTGTTAGATTTCTCTGTATTTACTCCCTGCTCTTTGAAGACAAGTGGCTATTTTATTTAACAGATAGGACTGAAGGAGCAAATTCATCTAATTTAAATCTCTGTGTTATGTAGAACATGCATTACATGCACTTTACAAGTGATTTTTTACTTATAGGAGCATAATGGGCGGAACTCCCCTTTTTATTGTTGTACAAGGAACCTATCAAATATCAATGAACTAAATGTGCATAAATGTTTCTGTTTTCATAAAAGCCAAGACAAATCAGTCTCCGGTATATTTTGATCTCTGTTTTGGAATATTTTTCAAATAAATTTTTAAAACTTTTCTCTATTTTCATCATTTTCCAAAACATTTTTCTTTTCAAGCTGGCCGAAATTACATACTATTTTGATCTTTGGAACCTGTACGGAAAAGAAGTGATTGTTAAAATTTATGTTGGATCCTTAAAAATGACACAACATGCAGGAACTGGAACTCACGGAAGAGAATGAGCGACTAAGACAGCAGGTATAAACTGCAACTAACCCCTCCCACTCTCTCTCTTTCATTTCTTTCTTATGTTGGGGCTTTAAAATTTGTTGATGGTAAGTGAAATGTTTAACTGAAGGTGATGGCGGAGGCATCCAATGGTCGAAGGCACATTATGACTGATTCGGACAAAATACTCTGCGAGGAAGGCCAATCATCAGAGTCAGTAACCAATGTCTGCAGCTCCATTGGCCCTCCACAAGACTATGAAAGCTCGGATACATCGCTCAAGTTGGGGTGAGTTTGTGGCCTCATGTTAGTTAAGTATATATACAAACATGGCTGAACTCAAATTTGATAGGGTGTAGGGTATACACGTACTTTGGCCTTCTTTTAGTTAAGTAGATAAATTGTGTTTTCTGTGAAAGAAAATAATAATACATACCTAAAACACGCACAATGGACAAACTGGCAATTTTCTCAACAAAGACTTGTCCTAATATTTTTGGGATCGGCTAACTCACTGCCCAACGAACTAGAACACAATATTCTCACCCGAAAAAAAATTCATCCCTGCCATTAGTTAAGTGAGTTGAAGTGTTGAATTTACTTCAAACTTTTGCTCTAGAGAGTTGATTGTTTGTTAATTCTTGACGGGTACTGAAGGAAATCTAATTGCCTTAGCCTAAAAATTATATTGATATAGATTAAAGGCGAAGTATCCTAAAGTAGTTGTTGGAAAACTTGGTTCGAGCAAATTGAAAATAAACTAGAATCGAGGCAAAGTATCCTATTGTGAGTTCAGTAGTTGTCTAGCTCTTCTGATTGTAAGAATTTCTCTTTTTCAATATTAGGTTATTCTGAATACTTAGTAACTCTCTTGAGAATTTAACTTGGGAAACCTTTTACATACCTTTAATCATGTTGTGTGTTTAATTTTTTGATTAATGAAACTATATTTACCGATCAAATAAAAAGTTCTTGACGGGTATTGGAAGCTATAATCTTCCAAAAAGACCATATATGGACTATTTGACAAAGCATTCTCACTAGAACATGCTCTGATGTGAGCTCTCTTGTGAACATTGCCTTAAATACCTTACGAATTTTTTTATATCTTCCAAAAAATCCTTATAAATTAGTGTATACAAATTTTATTGCAGGTTGCCTTACTCAGGCTGAACGGGAAGGGCGAAGAAAGGAGCTTTTATCAGTGAAGTAAGAACAATGCTTCATGTTTACCCTTGCGGAATATTTACTAGTGTGGATTGGGATTGTGAAAACTAACAGAAAAAAGTCATAGATATATGACTACAAGTGTGTTTGAGAGGTATTTGGAAACTTTGTCTAAATGTTTCATTTTTCTTGTGTATGATGGCTTTTGCTAATGTATGGAGTTCAAGTGGAGCTATGGTGTATTCTATGCTCTCTGTGTTGCCCATATGTTTTCTGCAATAGGAACTTAATAATTTCAAAACTTAATTTCAAGGGACTTAACTTCTTGGAAAGAAACTGAAGACTCTCTCTTTCTCTCTCATGCATGCTAACAATGCCAATATTGGGATGTAAGTGGAGATGAAATGGGTGAAGTGATGGAACTTTTTTTTTCTTTTTTCTTTAAAAATAAATTTTTGGTGCAAGACCAAGATTTTTGTTTTTATTTTTTTTTTGGGAAAAGAGAGGGAGAGTTGAATCTTTAACTTCAAAAAGGTAAAATTTATACGAAATAAGAAGTATCATTGAACTAAAAGTCTATAGTGAAGTAATAAAATTTTCATTGTTTTTCGCAGGGCCAAAGAGATTCTCTTCCTTCTTTATTTGATAAACATCAATGGTAGAAGTATGGTACTAAAAAAAAGTAAATTTTTGTATGATAGATGCATTTTTATATCTATTACTTTTTTTTTTACAGATAAGGCTATGATATTGTGTTGAAAATTGATTTGAATGATCTATCACCGAGCGAAAAAATAACTAAATAATAAAAAATAAAAAAACTTTACACATGATGTATTTTTATTGAATGAAAAGTGAAAGTTTAGCGCTATAATTAGGGACTTTCTTTTTTAAAGTTATATTTGAATTTTGAAACGAACAAAGTTGGTAAGATGTCATTTGGGATGGATAAAAAATTATTATAATCACGCCACTTACCCTTTTTCATAATATCTAAAATGACAAAATAATTCATAATTATTTTGGAAAGTATGTCGAAAAAAGTGAGTTTCTTGTATAATTTAATTTTTCTCTAATACACATTTTTATAATTTTTCTCAAGGACACTTAATATGTCTTGGTGTGAGACACATTTATATTAAGTAAATCCTTCTTACATTTATAATATATGATTTATCATTAAAAGAAGCTTAAAAAATTTATTTGGGCATAGACTAAGTTGAAATAAGTAGATTGTTCATTAAAATACTTAATTAAAAGTATATATAAAAAAAATAAAAAATATCTATATAATAAAGTAGCTTATAATTCAAATTTCAAAAGATAAACAAAATGATTTTTGTTATTCGTGATTGAGATCGCTTTAAATTTTACTTTAAAGTTAATCTAACGGTTAATATTAACACCCTAAATTTAATAGAAAAAATAGGTTTTAACGGTGTATTTGAAGTGACTTTTTAAAAATATTTTTAGAAATTATTTCTCATAAATACTTTAAAAAAAAATAGTGTTTGAAACTGTCCTACTACTACCTCTACCACCATCATCCTCGCCACCGCTACCGTCGCCGCCACTACCACCACCACTACCGTCGTTGCTGCCATCGCCACCACCACCACTATCACCGCCGCTGCCGCCACAATCACCATCACCACGATCATTGTTTACCCACCACAACTATTATTGTCTCTTACCAACACTAGTGTCGTCCACCATCAATGTCGATCGCCACCTCTCATCTCTCACTATAAACTGATAATTAAATTCATTTATCTGTTCTTTATGTTTATGATTTGATTTGAGATATAAATATAAATATGTTTATTATTTTTTATTACTATGTGTCTTCAGGCACAAGTAATAACTAGTACAATTATAAAATATAAATCCAAGAAATCTGAATCATTGAATCCTCATCATATTATCGTATTTGAGCCACACAATTGAATTTTTATTTTTAGTCGATTTAGCATCGTCCTTTCTTGTCACCATTGTTAATTATCAATTGATAATAAGAATAAAAATTTCGTGACGGGAATGTTTCAAACATTTTAGTATATTTTGACAATATTTCGAAATATTTCAAAAATAAACTCTAATTTTTTTTTTCTCAGTTTCTATTTTTGTTTCAAAATACTCTAAAGAATTTGCAAAATATTTTCATTTCATACCTGAAATAATACATTAACATAAAATTTTGATGATAAATCATTGCACGTGTTGATTATCGAAGAACATGTAAAACTCCAACCGTGCACGTCCGAGTACCGCTTCAAATTTGGCGGGGGTTCGTACCGGCTTTCCCTGGTAATTTGGGGAACGTCCCGCTTGAGACTTGTTCATTCAAAGCTCACCGATTCTTTCTCCACTTCTTGCATGCCACAATCTCTCTCTCTCTCTCGGATACACACACAGAGATACACCTGTATCGTCAGCTTAATTCTGTGTTTTTTGCGATTCTAACATCAACTAGTCTGCGTCGATCGATCTCGCCATGGATGAAGAATACGACGTCGTAGTTCTGGGAACTGGCCTCAAGGAATGCATTCTCAGTGGCCTCCTCTCTGTCGATGGCCTCAAAGTAAAGCCTTACTATATTCTTCTACATATATGCATATGCATACACAAGTAAATTTTGGTATTACCCAATTTAGGTTTTAGTCTCAGGCTGCGAGAAATGCTTACAATGCTGTTCATATATATGTTTGCACTGGATTGTACTATAATTTTTTATGATTCATTCAGGATTAGAGTCACGTATTGATCTGTTTTACATTACATAATTTGGTGCAAAATCCACTTGTACTTGTAAGAATAACTATGTTTACACCTACCAGATGAAATTTTCATTTCCGGAAACGATCGGAATATTTCGAAATCTTTTGGTATGTTTCATCATGTGCGCTAGATCGTGAAGAATTAGGTAAAAGCTCAATCGCTCTTCAGATCTCTGTTAATAGAAAATGGATTAGGAAACTTCAATTCAGATTTTAATATTGATGGGACTGCATCACACCCAAAGTCAATTTTTTTATGTTTTCATTTTTTTGGGGTTGGGAAGGGAGGATTCAATCCAACAGCTGGATTGGCAAAGGAAGGATGAATACCAAAAAAGAAAAAAAAAATTACATGATCCCACCAAAAAAAAAAATTGTTGAGAAGTGTAAAATCAAACCAATCCGAGAGGTGCCCAAAATGGTAGGGCTTGCTTTTCCCTGAGAGACAACTTCCCAATCCATGAAAAACTGGACACCCCTACCCTATTTGATTAAAGCTAAAGGTGAATTGTTTTGGGTTTTATTGGTTTGTGCTGACTTGAGTTACCTCAGGCACATTTGCCATTACCAAATAATGCACTTGTGCAACAATTTAGATAGATATTGACACAACGAGTACATATATTGGCTCATAAAAAAGACTAGCGGGAAAGCATACAGAGCCAACAACACTCTTAATATAGTTATCACCTTACTGAGCTTGAAGCCTTATTTTGAATTCTAAAATGGCATTTGCGGAAGGATTTATACACTTTTAAAGGGTGTTAGGTACATAAAGAAACCCTTAAAAACTCTCTTTTACCAATGAAGAACTATGGAATTTTAAAACTAGCTTAGACCTTTTGTTTTCTTCCCCCCTCTAAAAGTACTATAGGTCTGGAACTATAGATGTTATAATGACATCAATTATTTTCATTAGTTTTTTCTGGTCCAGCAGTTGAGTGTCAAATCTGGGAATTCCTGAATTAGTCTGCAATAGTGGATTTTTGCCTAGTGTAGTGGATTTTTGCCTAGTGTAGTAAATTTTTGCCTAGTGTAATTACTAGATATTTAGCTGCTGCAGGTGGATGAAGATTCCTCTTGCTGTGAAAGGGATTACTTCTTCTTTTTCGTTTATGCTTGTGTTTGTTGGGGTACAAGAAAGAAATCAGGATTCCACTACTTTTTGAAATGTACATAAAAATATCCTGCCCCCTGTTCTCATTTTAAGGTCATCTGAGATATCTTCCAAGGGCAGACTTAACTTCAACTTATAGGAATGATCTTCATAGAGTACTATGGTGGTTCATCAAGCCTGATATGTGGTTAGTGTAGGTTTATTTTGACCCATAAACTTGCATCACAAACTTTTCATAAATACAAACTAGGATGAAAATTTTCAAGAATGGTCTGTTCCTTGATGTTCGATAATGATAATAATGTTTTTGATTTGGGCTGCCAATGAGCCAAGCCAAGCCAAATATTGGACAGCTCATGCTTGCTTTGGCATGTTTGGTTCTGAGCTCGAGCCTGATCCAAGTTGTAGAAATTAGATTGTTCAACTTTTGTTAGTTTTCAAGGAGCTCAAGCTTGTGTCCAATCTGGTTGGGTTTAATTACTAGCTCAATCCAGCAGTCATTTCAAAATGTCAGAAATTGACAATATATAATGCGTAGTCTAAATTCTTCGTTTGAATTCATATGCTTTATATTGAGCTTTGTGATTATTTTAACCACATGGCACAACACGAATGTCAACTTCCCACTAGCCTCATCAAACCAAGCCAAGTGTGGCTAAAAGGTTCACCTGTCATGCAATTAAGATTGAACAATTTTCCCACCAATTGAGACTACCAGTGTCAAGAAGATTCTTACTTCCTGAGCAGCTTGGCTCATTCACAATTCAAATCCTCAGTTAATAAGAGGAAACAATTATTATTTTATACCAATTCATTATTTTTGCCATCCAAATGATGACCAACCCATGGGAGATGTACATAAATAAATCCTTTTATTTTTCTCCTTGGATCCCTAACAAGCCCTTGCCCAATTCCTTGGATCTGTAAAATATGGGCTATTTCGTTGTATTTGTGAAAGCAGATTGTTTTAAGGTGGTTACCTCATTTGCAAAATCTTTTGGCAAGGGCGTGCTTTAGAAACTGAATAACTCTCTAACCAGATTTTCTTTTTTTCAGTGGGCGTTTTTTCCTGTGTTGGGGAGGGTAAATTGATCTTTTCTCCGAGTTCTCATGTTCTATGTAATGGAACATAGAATTCACATACTCTGATTTGGTTATAGTTTACACTCTTGGTTAAGAAATCCTTAAAACTCTCAAATTCAAATTGTCGCATCAAACAAAAAGCATGCATAGTTAATTATTTGCTTGAAATTTTTTGAGGTTCGATCATTATCACTATAAGTAATACAACTCTATTTGTGGTCACAGACTTATAAAATGACTATTAAGCTAAAGAGTTTTTCTTTTAAAAATCATATGAGACAGGTACTGCACATGGATAGGAATGATTACTATGGAGGAGAGTCCACCTCCCTTAATCTAAACCAGGTCAGTATGATATATTACAATTACATCACTCTGTTGTCGGTAAAGATGTCATTTATGTGTTCACATGGCATTGAGAGGCTTATAATTGTGGTTTACAGCTTTGGAAGCGATTAAGGGGCAGTGACACACCTCCAGCACATTTGGGCTCAAGCAGAGAATACAATGTTGATATGATTCCTAAGGTGTGCAGAGTTTCGTAAATAATTCCTGTTATTGCAATCTCATCTAGCCCTTTTTCTGTTATGAGACTGTTGTTTGATTTTTGGTGATTCAATAGTATGCATCTTTGATTTAGTTCCAAATTTTGCCTTCAGAGCTGTAAATGAACCACCTTAGCTTTTGCTGTCTGATGAATTTTTCCATTTTTTTTTGGTGTAGTAGATGTGAGCTGTTTTGTTTTTTCCCACCCGGATGGTTTATGGTAGCCGTTAGATGTTAATCTTAGTAGGTTACAAAATTGAGTGGCCCGGACTTTGAGCCTTTAACTGGTCCAAAAGTTCAACTTCATCTGGTGAGGTAAGTTAATCTGAGACAAAATCAACCTAGCTGTAGCTATTGTGGTCTATCATTTCTTAAGGTCCATAAAAACTTGTTTCATAGATCCCACTTCACATTTTACTTACCTCTTCTTGGGTGCCTCCATTTAACTGTCCCTGTTTCATTGATTTGGCTGTATACTTTTTCAAGTTTTGTGATATGATAGGGGTTAAAAAAAAGTGACTCTAGACTATACAATTTGGATGTACATTAAGAACTTACAATATAACAGCTGCTAATTCCTTGGGAAGATGAGTTTTTGCTGTCCTTGCTTTATTGAAATTTTCATTAGGCAATAAAGTTAGAGGCTTTCAAATTCACATTTTTATTGGTGGTGAACATAAAGGGAGTCTTATCTGTTGACTGTTGTGCATATAGACCCTAGAATTATGGAAATTGAAATATTAATTAGTACTTTGTTCACTATTTCCTGTTCATTCTTCTCTATTGAGTAAGAGCACATGTAGATCACAATTAGCCATTTTTTACAGGATACACGAGTTCAGTAGAAATAGGGTTTGCACATGGAAATAAAGTCCCAATCCCTGCTCACAAGAAGGACTTTCAGAGGGACAAGTTCAAAAATCAAGGATTGTCTCAAACAATCATGGCATGAGTTGAAATCTAACATCCTCGCAAAAATCTTTACATATTACTGTATTAAGGGCAGAAACCGTTTATTATCTTCAATGACCTGATCTCGTACTTACTAGTTCAGGCTTTTATCAGTAACTAAAGCCTCCATCGATTTTGACTCTTAGTGATCATTACTGGTACATAAGAAACGATTTTTGGAATAAAAAAGGCGTGGTTGTGCTGTGGAGACTTTATACACAACATGTTTCCAGGTTAGAACTTTATCATATATTTTTCCTGTTCTCCCGGAAATTCTCACTATTTCTGTATTTTGACAGTTCATGATGGCTAATGGTGGCCTGGTTCGTACTCTTATCCACACTGATGTTACTAAGTATCTGAACTTTAAAGCTGTTGATGGTAGTTTTGTGTACAACAAAGGGAAGGTGTGTTGCCTTCTATTTTTCACTGAACTGTCAGTGTTACCTTTAGATGCATAATACATAAATTCTAAATAATTCACCCCAGAAAACAATGAATGTCTTTTTCCAGATTCACAAAGTACCAGCTACTGATGTGGAAGCACTTAAATCCCCACTAATGGGATTGTTTGAGAAGCGCCGGGCTCGAAAATTCTTCATTTATGTGCAAGACTATGAAGATAGTGATCCAAAGTCACATGAAGGGCTAGACCTGAACAAAGTTACAGCAAGAGATCTTATTTTGTACTCTCATCTCATCTCCTTATTCCTTTGCCTCATGTTGCTTAGTCTAAATATGATATTATCATTATATGGATAAGATCACCATGGGCTATCTATATACATGTGTGTTGATATTCTTGTATGATAGGTTAAGCAAGAACTTCTTTTGCGTATGTGCCAGTGATTTGATATGACTGATGAGGAATCTATGAGCTGATGAATTACAGCAAAAGTACGAAGCCAAACACTCTGGTTTCGGACTAAAAAGCTAATATTAGGGTTATCATGAGGACTGAAAAGTCGTGTACACAAGTTTTCATGGGATCATTGAGCAAGAGAGGGGTCTTGTAGGAATAGCAAGTAGCATACCTGTATGTATAAAACGAGTATGAATATGAAATTTGAGATAAAGAAATAGTTGGGTAATATTCAGTTCACCTCTTGTAAGTAGTTTATTGATTTGTCCGATAGGCTCGACCATATACATTGTGGTAAAGCATGTACAAGAACAATAGTTTCACAGAGGAAGACTTGAAACAAACCTGACAAATATTTCATTTGGTGTGTCTATTCAAATGATAACTAGTTTGATAATTAGAAGAAACTCTCTGCCAACTGATCAGGCAAAGGCCTTTAGTTGTATGACAGACCTGAGTAAGTGTCTGCATCTCAAACAACTTCTTAATTTATTTCCATTTCAACTTATTTAAAATAAGAAAATATTAATCGATACTTGTATGTTCAGGTACTCTATAGTGTGAGCAGCCCCTGAATTCTGTGGTGCACCATCTGCTCCTTTTGAATCTAAAGTTTGTGTTTTTTGCATTGTTAGAGCATCCAACTTGAAACCAATTGGCAGTGAGTAAAGAGGTCCCTTAAGCATATAAACCAACCTTAGGTACTACTAATCATCTGATGTGAGATACAAGTTCGCTTTACATGCACATTTAAACAGAAACTGAAGTATTAATGCTTATACATACCAGCTCATAACCATGTCTGCTCTTCACTTTTGGTATTTCTAATTCTGGGTGCTGCAGTTTTTCATACTGAAAAGTTTGGTTCTGGTGTAGGAAATATGGACTAGATGACAATACTGTTGATTTTATCGGGCATGCATTGGCACTCCATAGAGATGATAGCTACTTGGACCAGCCTGCCATAGATTTTGTAAAGAGAGTTAAGGTGAGCCTTCCGGAATCCTGCTCCTACATTTTGCTCCTTTTCATTAACATTCCATGTTAAACAGCTTCAACTAGTTTTTAACATTTCCTCACTGAATTTGTTGTTTGCTTAAATAGCATAGGTAGTATGACGCAGCAATATATTACAATTGTGATTATTAATGTCTGCTTTAGTGGCGTTAAGTATGTTTAGTTTTCCTTCTTTTCTTTTGCTCATGATTTAGAATAGCTTAAATGCTCCTCCAACCCCTTTGGCGCTCCAACTTGCACCCAAGAGACTCTTTACAATGTTGCTAAAATGGGAATTTCAGCTTGATTAATTTGATCGATCTACATTGCGATGAATTAGAAAAAATATTCACACTAGGGAAACATGTGAATGCTTGAGCATCTTTTAGTTGCACCGAACACAAGCTCTGTAGTTACTAGTGAGCTCTTTAAAAGGATGTGGAAGATGAACTTTACATAACTAAACATATTAAATTTATTACCAAGCTGTCTACTTCCTTAACTCTGGTGTAGAGCCACCGAATAAGGTTGCAGCAGGAAGCACTCCTCAGGACAGGACTTTCTCCACTGATGTGACAATCCTATTACCTGAAATTCGATAGATCTGAAGACATAAGTCATAGAACATACATAAACTTCTTCGTAAAAGATTGTTGTGTGGGCTGTAAATAATGTCACAACTTTTGTTTCTAACCTCGGAGACTAATGAATGACACTCATCTTACGCATTTACTTTTCCAATTGGTTTGTTGTCAGCTACTCTCCATCATGTCCCCAAAAGTTTTACTTTGTTCTTTGACATGATGGATGGAAGGGGAACTCTTGTTACCTAATGTAATCATCATTTTCTTGCATAATATGATGCTGTAGTCAGCTCATCAGTTTCAGATTTTGTTTTGAAAAGCTATATGCAGAGTCTTTAGCTCGTTTTCAAGGAGGATCTCCATATATTTATCCCCTGTATGGACTGGGAGAACTGCCTCAGGTATGTTATACAGCAAGTCTGCAACTGCAAAATCCTATCAGGCACAATCTTCGTAAAGATCTGAATATGTGTGAGACACAATTGGCAGGCATTTGCTCGTCTAAGTGCCGTTTATGGTGGCACCTACATGCTCAGCAAACCACAATGCAAGGTAACATATTAACAGCCCTCTTATATCCTGTTCGTCATAGGGCATTATATCCAGTGCATTATATGGAGATGAAATTCGCATGGGGTATGTCTGAGCATAGATACATCCAAATGAGTTAAAGGGCTGAAAAATGACACCCAGAGATTATTCATGCAGAAGAATTTGGTGAATGTGGTTTTTGAGTTCACTTTATCTTATCATTTAATGTTGTAGATTTGATGAATTTCCCAATTGCCTGCCAAGGGCAGCAGTTACAAGCTGTTAACTGTAGGATGAAATGTGATGGATTGAATGGATATATGCCTTTGGAATTCTGCAGTTCATACCAATAAGAAAGCTGGCAGTGTATAAACATGTGTATATAATTAGCATATTGGTCAGTCATCTGTGTGACTGGTAATGGTTTGGTCACGAGGAAGCAATTTGTACAAGGGTTTGGTCATATTTGGAATAGAGCAATGTTCATACTGCAATAAATTTGTATCTTCTTCTCTTTTCTTGGATAATGTTGATTGGTAAACATGGAAGACTAATTTGGTTCAAGTTGAAGCAGCTAGAGGGAAAAAGAGGAAGACCATTAAGATTACATGTTGAGGTAGTGAGTAACAAAAGGATTAATATCCAATTAGGAATATTCTCTAAAATTTTCAAGTTAATCAAGTGATTATAAAGCTTCTTTGCTCATCTGGGCTGACAGTTGCTGGGTCAACCCCTTTTAACTGTTGTTGAGTCAAATTTTCTGATGTTGCAAATGACAGGTAGAATTTGATGAAGATGGAAAAGCCTTTGGTGTGACATCAGAAGGAGAAACTGCGAAATGCAAAAAGGTTGTTTGTGATCCTTCATATTTGACTGACAAGGTAAATTCTAGGAAACCTATAATCACTAGTTTCATCGTGTTGACATTTTCTGGTTTGAATTACCACCTCATTTCTATGGCAACAGGTAAAGAAGGTTGGCAAAGTAGCTCGTGCAATATGTATAATGAGTCATCCCATCCCTAATACCCATGATGCTCACTCAGTCCAGGTTATTCTGCCTCAGAAACAGCTTGGCCGTAAATCAGACATGTATGTACTTCAAACTTCTCTGTCTTTCTTCTGGTATGAAACTTATTCTGCCACCCTGCAACAAAAAAAAATGAGTGGCAAAAAGATGTCAGTGCTTCTTAGTTGAAGCAAAGATTTTGGTTTTCCTTTGTTTGATGACCACAGAGATTGCCAGGCTCCAGCTTAATTAATGCCAAAAAATAAGAGATAAGAACTTTTACATGTAGTTAGCGATATTACCCTTCTGCGGTAGAATCACTATTCTGTAATGAGAACAAGATATTAAACAGACATTCACACATGCTTGAATCAGCACTAGTATTTTCAGAAGAGATTCCTTAGTCTTCTAAAATCTAGAAGTTTCTATACAGCCAAAAACAGGTGGATGTATAGAGGACCTGATTCAGAAATCGAATATCCATACGCAGAGCACAGTCTATTTTGATGCCAAAAGTCTGTAAATGTAATTCATTTTGATTTAGATATTGTTCCTCAATCTGTGCAGGTATCTGTTTTGCTGCTCCTATTCTCATAATGTAGCTCCAAAAGGTAAATACATCGCTTTTGTTACAACAGAGGCAGAGACTGATAACCCTGAAGAGGAATTGAAGCCTGGCATAGAGCTCCTAGGACCTACAGACGAAATATTTTTTGATACATATGACAGATACGAACCCACTAACCAGAATGCTGTTGACAACTGTTTCATATCCACTGTAAGTTTATGTTGATATATTTACAGATACAAATATATTTCATTGTAGTTATAAGTTTCATTTTGCCCCTTTGATAAACTCAAAATAGCCACACATGAAAAGTTGGCATAATAACTATTTAGATAGCAAACGAATGGGGATCCCTTTGATAAACTCAAAATGGTCACACATGGCTAAGTTGGCATAATAACTGTTTAGATAGTAAACGAATGGGATCCCCAACTTCCTTTTACTGGCTTTGCCCATGTGAAAGTGATGCCAGCACCTAAATTTATAATTGGTGGTGCTGAAGAAATGGAAGGCAAACATTACATGGCTAAAATTCTTCCTTTGATCAGGAGCTCATAAGCCTATTTCTGAATTCTAGCAAGAATATTAGAAAAGAATGACTTATTTCATGATCACAACATTGTTAGGAACTTCATTTTTAATCTTGGAAAGATGAATATAGTGTCGTATAGTATACAGGTGAAAAGCAGTTTCTATTGCCTTCTAATTTATCTTGGCCAAGAGGGCAGAAGGCTGATTGCTTTTCCCTTTCTATCTCAAGAAAGCTGAAGATTGGGTGGGAGGGCATATGTAAAAGGACTTGAGTAGTCTCAAAACTAATTCTCTGTAAGACTAGGATGACCTTTATTACAAAATGTGTCAGTTCTTTTTTTCTCTGTTTTTCTTCTGTTCCTAGTTCTTTAAAACAACATACCTTTGATACTAATGTCAATGACAAATTTTGAAATTCAAATTTCTGTCAGAGTTATGATGCAACAACGCACTTTGAGTCCACCGTAAAAGATGTGATCACCTTGTACAGCCAGATAACTGGAAAGGTAACTTCTTCAGTTTGATCAATTATGATATATGGACTTTGTTTTTATCACCGAGACTGTAAATTCTTGTTAGTTTCAGACATATTGAAAGTTTCATCGTTTGTAGTCGCATTTTAATGCTGTCAAAATAACAGATTAACTATTTCCCCTAGAAGTCCTAAACAGAAAATGAAATCTAAACATGCCAGCAACCTTCGTCAACCATCATGGATGATAAGTGTTCAAACCACCTTAGTCGAGTCACTGCCCCAAAGACAAGTGTCAAAATTAGCGCGTACTTAGGGCAATGTTACATTCTATGGTGATTCTAATGTAGAATTCAGCTAATTCTTGGAAGACTCAATCTATAGCCACAATCTTTTACCTAATATATAGACACTTTTGTATAATAACTTAGCAAACAAAGATAGGGGAAAAGTTATAGTTCAAGTCCAGAGAAAAATTATATAACCTTGATCCCGAAGTCTTTGGAGTAGCTTTTTGATAGGCACCTCTATTTGTATCGCCCAGTGTCCCCCTCCTTCCCCTGCCGTCTTTCGACTGGCGGGAGTATACAATGACAACTTCCAGACACTCATGCCCGATCATGAGATTGCCTGTTGAACGTCTGCTCCAACTTGAGCTATGCAAGAACAAGATCCCCCTTGATCCTTTCTGGATGTCCTTGGAGGTCCCCAATAATACGCTTACATGGGGACTTCTTACTCCTCTGGCTTTAGGCTTACTTTACTTGGGTCAGGCTAAAGATGTGCTTTCAAAGGGTTTTTTTTAATTAGTTCTCTTCTCCCTCCTAGTTCGGTGGTATCACTATCATTAGTAAACACAAATTCCTTTATTCCATTTAGTTCTCCGAGTTTCAAGCCGGATTTCTGGTGGCGCAATCCCCACACAAGCATGGTCCAACGAAGGGGGGACGGGGAAAGCTACAGGCCATCTTGTCAATTCATTGTTGCTCATTTTTGTTAGGCCGAAGTGTTTGGACTTTCCTTCTCTGCGCCCATAAGTAATAGATCTGGCTTTTCTAATTTCAGACTTATATAGCCACGAAAAGAAGATGCTAGTATGAAACTTACATTGTAATATTTGGTATTATCATTGTCTAAAATGTTTGTGTGATATGCCTTAGAGTCCAGTGCTTATTTGAGTAGCATATCATAACACATTCCAAACAGTTCAGATCACAAGAGGCAATGAAAATTCCTTCCTCATTAAAACTACATTTTGTAGTAGCTACTCTTAAAACTGAACTTCCTCTTCCTGTAACTTCTAACCAATTTATGTTATGTTATGCTTCAGACTCTTGATCTTACCGTTGATCTAAGTGCTGCCAGTGCTGCTGCTGAAGAGTGAATCTATGGCTACAAGAAATGGAAGAAGAGATTTAACAAAAAAACATCCAGGTCCTATTTTTTCATAAATTCCAAATTACAGTGGTCCCCAATACATTTTGTCGTTGATTTTTGCAACAGACTAGTTGTCCGTGTGTAGTTCCCCAAAACCTGAATTGCTTCTCAACATTACTCATTCCTTCTGCTTGTACTGAGCGCGAGTTGGTTGAAAAATTGATTTGTTTTTGTCAAAGCATTTGCTTAGTCAATATTACATTGAAGTCATTAGTTTTTTTTTTTTTTTGCTATTTAAAAAAGAGGTGAAAGCAAAGAAGAGCGCTTATAAATCACTCCGATGGAATCATGAAATCTCTGACTATGCTCGTTATACCTCTCAAAAACGAATTTAACTAAGCTAGTATAGCGGTCAACCACCATAATGTTCCACCCCAACACATACAAATGAGAAAATGAATGAATTATCTCATTGATCAATTAGTTTGCCCGAGTTTGTTTGTGATAGTTAACATTATATTTCAAGCAAGGGTAAGCAAATACCAGATATGAGCACCAAGAAGGCTTCAAGACACAGCCATGTCTCAGCAACATCTAATATTCGAGGAAGTTCTGTCCTCCCTCTTCCGTTCTTTCCTTGCCCGAAAAATGTTTCTTTTATCCTGTGCTAGAGAAAAATTTTCTACAGTATGTTAGGTTTGACAAGGAAATTACAAAAAAAAAAAAAAAAAAAAAACCCCTATGTTTGTCAGAATTTACAAACCCACTCTCCAAAGTATGGCTATCTTGGGCTTGTGTGTGTTGAAATCTTCATTCACCTGGACATTGCTGGTGTTGATGATTAAACAATTATCCTTCTTTCCGTTGATACCAACAGGAAATGGGAAATTCGAGCTCCAAGAAAACTTTCAAATTTTGATTTGATTCCTCAATTTTTCTACTGAATATTTAGAGCAAATTTCCTCCCATTATGATCTACACTCTGTTTTGTGAAGAAAACCGTTAAACTTGCTGCTAGTACTCCATTTGAAAAGTAAAAGGATCGATCAAAGGCTTGTGGACTGTGATAATAGTCCACTTACCACTACCTGACTGATCTCTAGGGTGCAATAGTAAATCATTTCATAGCAAACAACTCTCTCTCTCTCTGTCTCTCTCTCTCCCTCACACACACACACACACAGGCCTACAAAACTCATACTAGTTTGAGAGAGATTATTTTATCACATGGAACAAGTCTACTGTTCGCATTTGCAACATAAGTTTCGATGAAGTCCGAGCTTTTGGTTATTATAAAGAAAAAATTGGTAAGTCTTTGGAATTAAACTTGATAGAGATAACCAAAGATGCTAGGTTGCTACACAAAAATGCTGATAAACCAGTTCTTAAACAACTTCTACTGCATCACTCTACTCCCTTTTTGATTTGGATAGCGCTTTCTTCCTCTGCCCAAGCATGTAGGAGTACAAGTGTGGGCTGCCTGTGATGAAGCACACAATCCAAGTTAGTTTCAGTAAAAAAATGAACAAGGATAGGAATTGCAAACCAACTAAATGAATGAAACATTGGCAGCAGCAAGAACATAGAGTCATGCCTGGGACATAGATTCCAAGGACAAGAATTGCGGCATAGGAGTAAACAAAAGAGAAGTTCCATGTGTTGGGCATCCTTATACAATATTTCTCAGATTCCTGCAAATAGCACAGTTCATAACATATTGTGTATAATCCAAACAATTAGTTTAATTTTTTTTTTCTGATTAATGCGATAATTTTTCTGATTGAGATTGACCGCTTACAGAAGCATGTGACACACATGCAAAATCACAAGACAATGTACATAAGGAAGTGTGACCTGAAATCACCTCGTCAGCACTAGACTATCAGCAAAGCATATTAGACAACAACCAAAAGCTGTTTTTCCTTTATCATAACCTTCACAGAATTTTACATTCTTAATCTGGTTGATCTAATACCACAGAAGGTGGACAGAATGTCTAATCATCTGATCAAAAAACATTTTATGGCACCAAATTACCCAATTTATCCAGGGGCATCAGAAAGAGAATCATCAGAGTATGCTCATATTAAGTTTTAAATGAATAGAGCAATCCAAAACTGGGACAAGGCGAGCAAATCAAAAAATTCAGAAACACAATTTACCATATAAGGGTGAATGGGTACCTGTAAGTAAAAACTCAAAAAAACAATACTTTCAAGAGTTGCTGAAAAATATATGCCATTGCAGGGGAACTTTCTAAATTCAGAATATATGATGCTAGACAATAAGTTTTCACCAGAAACAATGCGTATGTATAATTTTTATACTCGTGCAGTAATGGTTATCATATCCTCAAACCAATATTCCATCATACAGTGGCATTTGGAAATGCTCTCATGCAAACAAATGAAACTGTGCTGAAAATTCCTCGTCACTCAGGAAACCATACTGTTGCATCAGATCAGATATAGTACAGGCATATAGGTAACTCTAAGGGTTCGTTTGTTCAGTGGGAGAATGGTAGAAAATGCAAGAAAGTGAAATTTTTTAAATTTTTTATGTGTTTAGTTATCATGAAAAGAAAAATTATAGAAAAAATAATTTTCTTTCGTGCTTGAATTTTCTCACAACTACCCAACTTTTTTTTCTTGTAAAAAACACAAGGAAATGCAAGAAAGTTGGGATCTATAATTAAATTTTCATTTTACCCTTATTTTTCTTAAAATATTTTATTGGTTATTAATTTTAAAAAATTTTGGTATGAATTTAATTAATCATATAATTTAGCCCAAAAACCTTTGTGTTGATGATTATCGTAGAATTAGGTTTCGAGCTACTTTTTAAAAAAAATTTAACTTTCAATTATAATACATTTTTTTTCTTTTTTAGACCGATTTAATATAATTAAGATTAATTTAGATAATTATAAAAAAATTCTTAAAATTTTCCTTTCTTTCAAAAAATAGAATGAGATTTTTTTAAAACTTTCTCGTAAATTTTTCATTCTAACCAGATATATGCATGAAAATATATTTTCTATCATTTTCTTTTATTTCATTTTCACTTTCCATTTTTTTTTTCTTCCTAAATAAACGGACCCTAATGCTAACAAAAAAAGCACTACATTTCTATGCATAATTAAGTTGGTTACCTTCATGTAAGGCAAGGCAGTATATATTAAACCAAGCTCACTTGTAATGCCAGTTGGGTATAACAACAAGAACGTGCTATACCTGCAAAATAGAATTCCAAAAACTTAATGAAAACCACCTTAAATTCACAATAATCTCCATTCTAACGGAGAATTTTAATGGTTTTTACCTGAACCACAAGAGCCAGGAAGGTGCAGAACCAAGCGCCTCTTTTGTGCCAAAGAAAGAATATCGAATAATCTAAATTACAATCAAGGGAACGCCATCCATTAGTAAATCAATTATACAAAACAACTGGTATTTCTTGACAGTGAAAACAATCATGAAGTTGAGACATGCATTGATGACTCAACTTACATAAAAATACTGGTTTTCTAAAGTCAAGCCAAAACCAACTAGAAACATGTTTCTGATTTCAAAAATTCTGGCTTAAATTTCTTCTGATTGTATTAGTCTATTAGATCTTCCATACTTTTTAATTGTCCAAGCAAAAAAAGAAAAGCAAGAAGCTAAGGCGTAAACATAACTGGAAGGCAATCATGCAAGACTCACCTCTGTAATAGACCAGCTGATGACCAAAGAGCTAACAAGTATATGGCTCTGAGTCTACAACCACCAAGCTTCATATTATGAGTAAAAATACTTTATCATGGAATGTAAAGAAACTATGGTTAAGAAATCTCTTCTAACCTCAGGAAAACTCCATAAGATACCCCAAACTACATACAACCTCGAACTTATCTGTGGAAGTGTTGCTGTAATTGGTGATCTTACCAAACCTTTCCAGAAGAAAAAGAGGAAAGTGAATATGGGTTTGGATTTACACCATATGTTGAACCCAATTAAACCATAGCTCACCAATATAAGGAGTCCTTACCCACTAGCCCATGAAGTATCTGTTCCACAATTAAATTTGAAGCAACAAAAGGGAAAAGAAAAGAAAATTAATATACACTCAACTGAATTGTAATAGAAATGCAGAAGTTTAAGAATTCTTTGTTGACTAAAGATCAATACACTCAACAGAATCTTTGTTCAATATGATGAACTGGGTCCTTTTGGAACTTGGAATTAGATGTAAATAGAACAATCCCCCCCCCCCTCCCCCACAAAAAAAAAAAAAAAAACCAACCCCACCATCTTTTTGTATTTAGAAAGGATAAATAGAGGTGTACATTCAATTTAGTGATTCTTTTTCTCTTGACCTAGCATTTAAAGGGGCATAATAGCCACGTAAAGAACTCCCTCCAACTCCAAGTGCATTGATTCTGGATTTGGGTCAGAATCTTGTTATACATGGAAAACTAATAAATAAGACTGACTTGTATGTAGGAGATAGTACCTCCAAAACGGCGGCGGATTGAGCGTAAAGCAGAGGCTTTTCAATGGCGTCATAGACATGTTCGTGTCCCGATTCTTTCAGGGTCTTCAAAGCCAGATACAGCACTTGAAACCTGAAGTTTTTGAAACCGAAATTTAGTGAAAAGAAAGATCGGAAACAGAGAAATGCGAGGTGCGATTGAACTTGCCATCCGAAAAAGATGGTCCAGTTGTAAATGGTGAGGTATATACGCTTCAGAACTGAAAGGGCTCCCGCCATGGAAGATCCAAGTGTAGAGGGAGAGATAGTTGAGGGGGAGAAAAGAATATAAGGAAGTGGGTATTTGAAAGGAAAAAAAAACCCAGAAAAAGGAAATCAATGCGATTTAGGTGAGTAGATCAACCACTTGCGAACTGTTATTACTGATTATTTAGTACCCTCTCTTTCTCTCCCTAACCAGATTTGAAATAACGATTGATATGATGAGTTGGGGACTGTCGACTGTGGTCGTTGGGACTGAGTAACGACGCCGTTTCTTTCTGGATATTAAGCCCAGGATACATTAAATAGATAGTTGTTATTGGCGGCTCATAACTTGGGCAGCAAGACCAAGACCAAGACCACTTTCAATTCCACGATGGGCAAGTATTGAATATGCAACTCATTTTCTGTCTTTGTATCTATTTTATTCTATCTCTTGGTATCACATACTGTTCTGCGAAATTTAAAAATCATTGATTTTTGCATAAAATGTACATTTCATTGCTGTATTGTATGGCAGTTGAGAAAGACCAACAAATCCTCTACTGCCGATGCTGAAAATAATCATGTAGCATTTGTTAGAAAACATATAAACTGTAAATGATGCAAGATTCGGTGTTTGTGGACAGACTTGGAGCATGGAGTTCAAATACCCTCAACTGATCCTATTGATCACTAGGTGTTGAACTCGGAATGTTTAGATTCTGACCATTTTTCTTATCCTTCTCGACCACGGGAGACACATTTGCACTATGACGAGTAGCCAATTCCTTCACCTCTGCTGTAGTTGGAGGGGATTTCATGTCTTCTTCAATAGGGAGGGTTCTCTTTGAGCCCTCTAAAGCAACACCAAGAACTATATTTTCTTCTAAGACAGGTTTCGCTGTTGTTGGTTGTGTCATTGGCAATCTCTCCTCTTTTTGTTTTGATGGAGGAGTAGATGTAAAGCCAGATGGCTTCTCGCCTCCAATTTCTGGTAAAGAAGCCGAAGAACTTTTGTTATCTGCACTGTCCTGCAAAGCATTTCCCTGGCCATCCTTCTTAAATTGATTGTTAGAGGCATTTTTAGTTGAATTACCAGAAACTGGGTCTGCGCCTTTGGACTCAGAACCCGATATTTCTTTATATTTGGAATCTGCCTTGGAAACAGATTTGGATGTTGATTTCACCGTCTGTTTATCCCCTACAATGGCATCTATCTGGTGCTCCTCTTTGGCATCAACATTTGGCGTTTCAAAGACCTTCACATCTGCTGTCTTGTCAGATGATGTTTCTTTGGCTTTAGAGTGAGAGGCAAGTGTTGTTCCACCTTTATCTGTCTTGTTGTCAGGTGTTGGGCGCACTGCAGCCTTGCTGTCTTGCTCCCCATTTATGCGCACTGAACGGGTTTGATTCTTTGTTCTGTCGTCTCCATTGATTTTGTAAGAGGGCTCAATTAGCAATGGATGATTTGATGCTGACCTAGGAGTGAAGATTGGCTCTGCAAATGGTATGTTTTCCAAATCGAGGTCACTATATATTTTCTGGACAGTACGAATGGGAGTGGCAAGTCGAGCCCGGTGATGTCTAATCACTCTCAGAAGATCCAACAGTATAGCATCCTGGTTTTTATCCATCCAAATTAAATTCAAATGAGTCACTAGTAACCATTGCTTTGTTTGACTGCAGAAAACTAGAAAAAGCACAATACAGCTAGGAATAGAACTCCTAGTATTGCAATTGAATAATGATTTAATATATGGTCACTGTTGGGTAGACCATTTCCTAATTGAATGGAAGTGAAAGAGCAGGAGAAAAGTCCTCTCACCTTGACACAAAGGTACTCTTCAAAATGCGAGGTCTTCACGAAGCAGGATACCATAATCTGCAATATTTATGGAGAACCATGAAAATGAAGTATCATAAGGGTTAAAGGTAAAGATACATATTCAATAAGTGTAATACTAAAATTCAACAAATGCAGGAATATACAATCAGTTTTTTTATAAAGAAGAGAATGTGAAACAAAGTGTAATTGTGTCTCTTCTAGACCCCAAGTCCGGCTAATGTAGGAGAATAGCTTCAGGTAGCCCGTAGCTGACAACCAAGATAAGATTTGTCACGTTTCTTACAAACATTTACTCCAAGATTGAAATGCATTTCTCTATGTAGATTCTTTGCACAGTACCCCAATATTCCAAAATACGGGCATGGGCACCGCGTTTTAGTTGCTCGGATATGGTTAAAAATATACAAGTGTTCTAGCGTCATACTAGACGAGAGTAGGTAAAGAAGATAGTCCATGGTACTAAAGTTAAGTTAGAGACTTGAAATGTATCAGCCTTAACAAGTAAGGGAATGGGAAATTAAGTGCATACGTGAACTATATCTATGCTAAATATAAATTTACATACCATGAGACAGAAACATAATATTAATTATCTAAATTTTCATGTTTACAACTACATAATGTAAAATATAAAGCTAAGTATCAATAGGTATTGCATCTACAACTACTGCCACTCCTGTTGTTCTCCTGTCATATATTCCTTCCCTACCTTGATTGGACATGCTTTAGGATGCATATCACAAAGGGACCTAGAAAGCTCCCATCAACCAATGCTCATATAAGAAAACAATTGGGTTTATTTACTGATGATGGTCAACATGGCAGAAATCCGACTTTTGATGTAAACATAAGGAGACCCAAAAACATTATATCTCCTCCAGCGATCCTCACATGAGTCCCACTTCCAAAACACTCAACATGGGCAGATATTAGTCATACAATTCATAAAACCAAAAAAAAAAAAAAAAGGGCAAAAAAAAACCTAAAAGGGCAACAAAGAATAAAAGCTCAGTGAGAAGTTATATCACAAATAACAAAAGACAAAGGCTACCTAAACTTTTAAAATTTGCTTTCATCCTTCTAATGACCTTATAATAATAGGCGGACTAAGTTTTGAGCCTGCCTGTCAAAGCATAATTACCCAGATGTACTAAAGTTCATCTGTAAAAGTGGTGAGAGAGTTCAGTTTTGGAAAGATATATGGGTTGTGGATCTTCCTCTTTCTTTGCCTTATCCTCAGCTTTTTAGGTTGTCTAGGTCTCAAGATGATTTCATTTCAAGCATGTATTGCGCCTCTTCATCTCAATGGGGGTGGAATTTCAATTTCTTGATTCTTCTGGTGTTTTTTCGTGCAAATGATATTTTCATACTCTGGTTGATGATCATATAATCCCAACTTTTGAACCCCCATAAGATGATTTGGACTTCTTGTCCATCCACTATGAAAAACTTTTATTTAATGAATGAAAGTTATGTTTCTTATCAAAAAAAAAAAAACAAAAGTTCGTCTTATGTCATGACAAGGCATTATGGTACAGATATACTCCCAGTTGGCCACTATTTTGCATCTTATTAATCTGATTATATGGAATTCTACTTGTTTACTTTGAAGAAGATTGAAAAATCTGGTTTTTGATACGCAATATTGCTGCCTTTTTAAAACATTAGTCTAGCTGTCTTTTATTTTACACCGCATGTGTAAGTTGCAAAATGACATAAAATGATCCAATAAACAGATGCGTGAACCCTGAAAATTCATTGCCACCTCCGGAATACGGAGAATGTCTCTTCAATTATCAATAACTACAATAGAAGTATCGAGTCAAGTGGTATTAACATATAAAACCATGGCCAGTCAACAAAAAATGTATCAGTTTGTCAGAAGCAATGATCGTTCAAGGGTGTAGACTAACCATAAGGGCCTGATTTTCAGCATTAATATTGTCCAGAAAAACCCTTCTATGCAACTTCTGTTGTTCTACTTGAGGGTTCTTTGCCAATACTTTACGCATATCAGCAACAACGTTCTGCACCAAAGACATTACAAACCATTTATAACAAGAATCGTGGAAAGTGGAAAAGCACCAATAGCATCCCTATTGCTGCACAAATAATACAATATTCATGAGAAGTTATAATCAAGGATACTCCTCACATTAATCTTATTGACATCAAGATGACTGATGGCCAGATGGGTTTTAATACGCCAATGCGTTTTTTGGCTGAGATTTCTCACAACATTCACTGTGAACTTATGGTTTGGAATGTGAACAGCTTCGCGATCTTCACCCCTTACAATTGTTGGTGACCACCACCCCACATGCTGCCATAGCAAAAAGGTAAAAGCTTAAAAGGACCCGCATAAGCGAGTTTTCAGGAAGACTTATATAATAAGCTGTCAAATTCCAGAGGGATCAATAGTGAGAAATTGCTTCATAAGAGCAAAGACGCAAGGGTCTGTTTACATCATTCATCATAAAGCAGGTACAAATTGTAATCATTAAAATAAGATGAAATAAAGTGCATTCCGAGTCCATATCATCTTTCTCTTTGTCCTCTTCATATGGATCTACTTATGAACATGACTGCAAAACTCATATACAAACCTCAACAGTACCAGAAACTTCATAGCCTTCGATCTTTGTCTGAATCCACTCATTCACGACAAATGGACGGGATGCATGAATCATTGCACTTGAAAGAAAATTTGTGAATATCTGCCAATGGTAAAACAGTTGTCATGGATCAAAATATAAAATCGACAGAAGTATAGAGAACATATATATCTTAGGAGTAATCCTCATGTTGGTGAAGGAATAGCAGGGATGAACTATTTTACACAGTAGAAATATAAATCACACCTCACGACCAGCCAGTGTCAACAAGACTGTTCCAAGACCACCTGCAGTGAGCCATTTCTGTGTGGAGAAACCTAGCAACTCCATAAACAATGACAGGGCAGCAACCCATACTGCAGTATACACTGCTTTGCCTGCAAATTGGAAGCCCATCTGCCAAGAATCAAGAGAAAATTATTGACAATACAATTAGTGGCTGACAGTACCTTTCGAGATAATTAGATAGCACATCAAAATTTTTTAACCAGAGAAATCAAGAAACGACAATGATTGAAAAAATGACGAGACATAACAAGGTTTCCAGTGGTATATGTGTAAAACAGCCTAAAGAATTAGAAGCGTCACTTTGAAAGAATTACTAGTTGTGTAAAAATCATAATAAAAGATAACAAATAAGGTAATTTATTGTAATCTTCAGTTAGTATAGTCACCAATAAATAACTACTTGGATTATTTTTTCCAAAGAAAGAATCTAGCTAAGATGACCTTTACAAGGGAGTAGAAACTGTTCATACACCCAAAATGCAGTAGGGATGACCTTTTAACAACATATGTTGAAAATAATCGCAAGCAATCAAGCCAGACATCAGCTATTTCGTTAACTCTTCCATGAGAATTATGTAAGCACAAAAATACGTTCACTAAAACTGAAACATTCTAGAGCTACAAACATAGTTATTAAATCGTTAGCACCACATAAAAACATTCTTCTGAGACTCGATATTAATACAAATGAGAGTCGATATTAATACGAATAAGAAAAACTCTATAATAGCCAGTTCTGTACATTCAATGTATTCTATTGATATAGGAATACATAGAGTTGAACATAGTAAAAAAAAAAGAAATTAAAAGATTTCATTGAAATTGTTCGTTTGGAAATTTCCCGATTATTGTCATTGCTCAAGATACCCTTTTTTGGCTTTTAGGGTCTATTTCTTAGTTCAAAATCGCTCTTACTAACTGGAATCAAAGAATTAGTACATTTGTTCCTCCTAAAATGGGAATGGGCTAAGGTTATGAACTTATAATCTATAATTTGATGATCAAGTCGATTCCATGATTATAAGTTCATTCCATACCGGAATAGGGTTATATACATTCTCATTATGAGAAGGGGTCATTTGAATGTATCTAAATAGATACTATGTTTACATGTGGAAGAATGCAAGGTTTTCGCTAGAAGTTCAAAAAATAAGGACATCAAGTCAAAGAGCCAAAAAAATAAAGAAAATCAATGTTCCAGCACCTAGTTATTAGGGTTGTGCCCACTTGATCTTGGTGGCTATTTTGTCCAATTTTCACCTTAATGTCACAGAAATGATTGTAAACATTACAAAATAGGTAAATAAATACAGTTACATCAAATCATAGCATTACAACATACATTTCTTGTATCACTGGGATCGTTGGTCTCCATAAAAAACTTTTGTGCTTGAAGAATTACACTGCATAAAAGTAAATGAATTTAGAGATATGCCCCATCACAGAAATCAATCATAAGCACTATAACGTCACAACAAACCAATTAATCAAGAAAGGAACATCAGAAATCATTAAAAAAAAATAATTGGACAAACAAAACAGATTTTGATATAAAAGAGGAGGAGAACTTGACAAATAGAAATTACAAGCTGAAGAAGGCACCCTAAAAATGCTATGGTTAAACACAAATCTCATGATGCCTACATAAGAGAAAAGCATCGAAACTATTAGCTACAAGAAGCCCCTTAAGACCTTAACAGCAGACCAACATCATATTTGCCTGATCAATTCATCACACACTTTCTGCCCAATTTAAGATAGAGACAGACACAGGACTAACCTTGATAAACAATAAGCAAAGGCCAACACTGTCGACAATGATTTTACAAAATTCAAGAGTCGTTGCTTAACAATTTGGCTAGCTTCTGAGGGTAGGACCACCGGATCCAATGCTCTACAAGAAAATTGGCTGTTGATCAGTAAAAAAAAAGTGACGGACAAGTAAATGACTTTTAAAAAAAAATGCATCTCTTCTTCCAACTTAATAATTTAATGTAAGTAACACCTGCAGATGAGGAATGCTCCAGTCCATAACAGCAGAGGCTGAAGATACGAGGTCATAACATAATGCGTACTACTCTTTCTCCAACTATTATCATTCTTCTGCGGGACATTAAGACGTCTAATATGTTAACCCATAGAGAAATCAAAGGCATATATAATTAAGGCAGTGAAATAAAAATAATAAATAGAATTGAAAATATAGCACAGACATGAAGGAATATGTTTCTACTTTGACGCATTAGTGGCCCAAGACCCCAAACAGCAAAAACAACAATGCCAATTGCTGGAAGCAACTTCAGTACAAGAGGGCTATCTTGCAAAGGCCCTTGTGTCCTGCATGATATAAGAATGTCTTCGAAGTTAAAAATTTTAAGAAATGGGGACCCGAAAAAAAAAGAAAAGGATTTCATGTGCTGAAAGTGAGATGGCTTCAGTTCACTGAAACATGAAAGCCCACATTTAGCTAAAGAGTTAACAAAACCAATCCTAATTCAAAGTCCATTCAAAAGATAAACAAATCTAAGTAGAAGGTCATAAAAAACCCAGTTTCCATTAGAATCTGATTAAATGACATATACATCTGAACAGCTTGGCTATCTATCAATGTTGTTATATCATTCAGGAAACTTCCATGTAATTGGGTCCATACTCCCTAGGTTGTAGTTTCTCTTAGCAATTGATCTGCTTAGAAGGCAAATGCATGATCAAAAAAAAAATTCTGGTGCTAAGAGGTTGGTTGATACAAGGTCAACCTATAAAAGAATATTCCCCCCACAATGCTCCAATAATCACATATTCAAAAATCACCTTAGATGATTGGGCAAAAAGATTTCAACATACAGATGTAGCAGAAGTGATTATCTGTGAACATCAAGTCAACAAATGCTTTGGTTCACATGAACGAACATTCTTACAACAATTTGAAATTTAACTTCCTCTATAGGATCATTTATAAAATTATATAGGATCCAATTAACTCTCATTAATGCTCTCTAATGGAAAATGTCCTATTCTAATTGGTAACAGTCAACATAAGGCCAAACAAGTTTTATTACCCCAATCACCATCTTAAAGTAAACTCAATTGATCTCTCCTAAACATTCCCAAGCACTCAATTTACTTAAAATAGCATTAGTCCCAACCGTGTGGGGTTGTCACACCACTCCATCTTCAGTTCTTCATGAAGCTCTATCCTTGGTCAAATAAAAGGTCCTTATCTCCATCTTCATACCTTCAATCCTCTAAACTTCATTTTTGTGACATAAATATTGTATTTTGTAAATCTTCACTTGTATAAAAGCTTCAGATACCTTCTTCTTAATGTATCTAGAACATTTTGTCTGAAGCCACTGATCATTCTTCAGTCACTAATATCCTTAGCCCCCTATCAAGGTCTTATGATCTTCATTATCTACAAACCAACATCCAATTCCCTATCCTTAAACATTGTCACCCTCAAACAAATATTTCCTCTTCTTGGGATACTTTTGTAGAAAAAGTAGGGAAAATATTTGATTGGTAGAAGGGGTACTTTTCGGAGTCTTTGGAGGTTCATCTCGCAGGGACGTCCTTGTTTTTCTCATAGGGTCAAGTTCATTATAGGAGAGAAAAACTGGGTGCGATTTTGGGAGCATATATAGGTTGGGGCGGTTGTATTGCGTTGGTGGCATCTATGGTTAGTTCATATTCTAATCAGATCTCTTGGGATTTTAGATTTCATAGGAATCATAATGATAGGAATTGTTTGGAGTTGACGAATCTTCTTTCTATGCTTAATGGTGTCACTTTGGTTCAAAATTCAATGGATGGATAACATTGGATTAGTAATTCAATGGGTTTGTTTCTTGCAAGTTATTTTTTGAATATTTGATTGATAATCCTTCTTTTTCACTATTTTATCCATCATTGATTATTTGGAGGGAGAAAGTACCATTAAAGGTGCAAGTGCGTGCATGGATAATTTCTCATGATAAAATTAATAAAAATGAAGTGCTTCAAAAAAGAAGACCTACATTTGTCTTCAACAGCAATGGTGTGTTACATTATGTGTAGAGGCGATAGTGTGGATCACTTATTTTTGCACTGTCCTTTGGCGTATGCATTATGGAATAAGCTTATTGGCGTTATGGGAGTTGCATGGGTTATTCCAAGAAATATGGTATCTATGTATTGCTTGGAAGATATGGTTTTTGGGAATAATAGAAAATAGAAGACCATTTGGCATAGTCCCTTCTTTGCTACGTTATGAGTGATTTGGTAGGAGAGGAACATGAAGATTCTTGAAGATAACTGTGAAGATTTCGAAGGTCTATGAGAAAGGTGTTAAGAGTTCTTATTTTTTGTATTAGTCATATTTAAATTAGATAGGGGAATATTGTAATTACCCTAATTGTTTCTCTACTATAATTAAGAGGATTTAGATCAATTACTAAAATCCATTAGANTCCATCTTCAGTTCTTCATGAAGCTCTATCCTTGGTCAAATAAAAGGTCCTTATCTCCATCTTCATACCTTCAATCCTCTAAACTTCATTTTTGTGACATAAATATTGTATTTTGTAAATCTTCACTTGTATAAAAGCTTCAGATACCTTCTTCTTAATGTATCTAGAACATTTTGTCTGAAGCCACTGATCATTCTTCAGTCACTAATATCCTTAGCCCCCTATCAAGGTCTTATGATCTTCATTATCTACAAACCAACATCCAATTCCCTATCCTTAAACATTGTCACCCTCAAACAAATATTTCCTCTTCTTGGGATACTTTTGTAGAAAAAGTAGGGAAAATATTTGATTGGTAGAAGGGGTACTTTTCGGAGTCTTTGGAGGTTCATCTCGCAGGGACGTCCTTGTTTTTCTCATAGGGTCAAGTTCATTATAGGAGAGAAAAACTGGGTGCGATTTTGGGAGCATATATAGGTTGGGGCGGTTGTATTGCGTTGGTGGCATCTATGGTTAGTTCATATTCTAATCAGATCTCTTGGGATTTTAGATTTCATAGGAATCATAATGATAGGAATTGTTTGGAGTTGACGAATCTTCTTTCTATGCTTAATGGTGTCACTTTGGTTCAAAATTCAATGGATGGATAACATTGGATTAGTAATTCAATGGGTTTGTTTCTTGCAAGTTATTTTTTGAATATTTGATTGATAATCCTTCTTTTTCACTATTTTATCCATCATTGATTATTTGGAGGGAGAAAGTACCATTAAAGGTGCAAGTGCGTGCATGGATAATTTCTCATGATAAAATTAATAAAAATGAAGTGCTTCAAAAAAGAAGACCTACATTTGTCTTCAACAGCAATGGTGTGTTACATTATGTGTAGAGGCGATAGTGTGGATCACTTATTTTTGCACTGTCCTTTGGCGTATGCATTATGGAATAAGCTTATTGGCGTTATGGGAGTTGCATGGGTTATTCCAAGAAATATGGTATCTATGTATTGCTTGGAAGATATGGTTTTTGGGAATAATAGAAAATAGAAGACCATTTGGCATAGTCCCTTCTTTGCTACGTTATGAGTGATTTGGTAGGAGAGGAACATGAAGATTCTTGAAGATAACTGTGAAGATTTCGAAGGTCTATGAGAAAGGTGTTAAGAGTTCTTATTTTTTGTATTAGTCATATTTAAATTAGATAGGGGAATATTGTAATTACCCTAATTGTTTCTCTACTATAATTAAGAGGATTTAGATCAATTGCTAAAATCCATTAGAGACCAAAAATTTGAGTGGTAATTTTCAACATTATATTCTTTAGTATACCAAAATTTGAACCTCTAACTGTCTAACACTAAGGTTTTTTTCCTCAACCACCCGACCCTATTTAAGCACAAACAAAAAGACACGCGACAGACTCACTCTCTTTTGATTTTTTATAAATACTTCTCTATCCATTTTTACAACTTGATTTGGCAAACTCATAGCACAATCCTCTCTCTTTTTGTTTGGGTAGGAAACAAAACTCTCATTTCATAGGAAGATGTAAATTTTGATATTTTGTGGAGAAAAAATTCACCCAAAAAATTAGAAAGATACAAAAATATAATAACCAAAGGACAGTATCAACTACAAATGTCTTTCTAATTGTGTTCATGAACTGATGCAAGATGACACAAAAAATCATTAGAAATCACAACCCAAAGGGCTGTCAAAAACTTCACTCTATTCCACAACAATTTCCCCTCCTCCTCCTTCCCTTCAAAATTATGCAACTCATCTCTATCCACACCACCCAAAAATTGGTCCAAATTACACATCTACGTCATGTGGGATCTTCTTTACCATTTCTAAAACCATCAAAACACCCCACAAATAAAGAAACACATTCACAAGATGTGACCCACACAAAATCCAAACCCCACTAAAACCAACAGTGGGACAATGAAATAACAAGTTATCAATATTCTTATGGCATTCTATACACAAAACACACTAATGAGGGGAATAATTAATGTCAGAACTCCTCTTTTGGTCCAAGTCACAAGCATTCAAGTAAGCACCTAGATCTTAATAGTAATTCTAACCCTCCAATTCATCAAGTGAGGTTCAAAGATAGAATAACTAGAAATATTAATCAAATGCTGAAAATAGGAACCACGAGCAATTTTCTGAAGAATCAAGAGACCAAATACTTTTATCTCTAGCAACGAATCCAAGTAAACAAGTCAAGCAAAGGAAGAAATGATGAAAACTCCAAGACTTACCAATCATTAAAGTTACGGGGGGAACAAGATAAATTTCCACCTCCTTGAGGAGGAGGAGAAGTACAAAACAAACATAACAATGCTCTATGCGAGTGAACTATTTGACCTAATCCATCCATTTTCCCCAAAAATGAGTCTTTAAGCTTCAATGAACTACTTATTGAGGCATGCATGGTCTGCCCATCAAAAAAAGGTAAAAAAGGCATGCATGAATCAACGATATTGTCTCCTAACACAACTCCAAATGTAACTAGCCTCAACCATATATCATCTTAACTTTTAACACTCTTGACAGTTATGCCCTTACTTTTGAGCAGCAACCATTTGCGTAAAATTTAACGAAAGACCTCAAAAAAAGGAGGCTAATGCCCATGAATGTAAAGAAAAGTACGGATCAGGTGTATAGAGAAACTTGTGTGAAGAATAAAAAGGGATGCCACAAAATATGCTCACTATGAAACTTAATTTATAAAAGCAAAGAATTATGCATCTGTTGAGATTATAAGGTAGACTTACATAAGCTAACAAGAAACTTGTGCCCCAAACAGGTGCATGTAAATCCATAAACAAATTAAAGCAAATGAAGTTATGCAGTTAGAAAGCACATGCAAATGTTTAACCTTGTCAATGCAGAAGCAACATTCTTCAGCATATTCACACCAAGGGACTGGCCTGAATTTAGAGAAGAATGGCACTTAAACTGGGTACATCTATAAGGGAGGAAGTGTATAGGCCTGCATACTCCCTTTGGAAGATGGAGACTCCAAGAATCCTGTCGCTGAAAATGTAAGGATGAAAACAAAAATCATTCTTGATAACAAGAACAAATTGTTTCAAGCTTCTTGTACTGCCACAAGGAATTAACTAGAAGAACTGTGATGAGAAACCTAATTTTGTAAGCAACCTAACTGCCAGCATCTATATACCTACCAAAAGAAGAAAAAAATAAAGAACATCATTTTTCTACTTTTCTTTGAAAAAAAATCTAAACTAAAAAATTTTCTTCAATAACACAAGAATTAGGCAAAAATGAGATGTGAAAAAAAAAATTTAAAGACTAGTGTGTCAAACATCATTTATTTAAAGTTTATGTGAGACAATTATCACCAAGCAGTCCAGATAACCCTGATACAAGGATCAAAATTTCGTTTCGACACATAGTTTTGGTTACCAAAGAAATGAAAACGTTTTGACCCGTTTTGATAATAAAATAAAAAATTTAAGAATTATTTTTTCAAAATATTGGTCAAAATATATAAAAATATCTTGAAATATTTTGGAGCAATTGTGCAAATACATTGAAAAATTATAAAACACCTTAAAATAATATAAAACACCTCAGAAACATTATGAAACACCTTGAAATATTAGAATTTCGATTTCATCACTGATTCTTATCGGTCTACTTGAAAATCAAAACATTTCAGACGTTTCGAAACGAAATTTTGATCATTGCCCTTATACCTAGGTGAAGATTAGGATTTAAGCCAACCATAACTATGTTGCCGTCTAATATGCAATAAAATACCTACACAAGTTGTATAAAGACTAATACCATACAAAACCCCCCATATCATCCACCTGTAATTTGCGATGTGAGACTACTTTCCATTCTCTCTGAATCATAGATGAATAGTTAGTAAAACCAAGGATCAAACTTTTGTTTTGGTGTATAATTTCGGTCGATTTGAAAATAAAAACGTTGAAGAAACAAAATGGAAACAGAGAAAAAATGTTGAAAATTTGTGTCCAAAACATTTTGAAACATTAGTTGAAACACACCGAATCATCTCAAAACACATTGAAACAAACGGATTTCAATATTCAATCAATTTTTTTTGGTTTCTATGTAACACAAAACATTTCTATTGTTTTTGGAGGAAACTAGATGAATTCCGATCCTCGAGTACAGCTATGGACTTAATGAGCCTCACAATAATTGACATTTCTGCAGAGTTAAACAGACTACCCATGAAGTATTGTTTCATTCATGGAAAAAAAACTATCTATGAATAGGCAAGGATTGAAGCCCCTATAATGCCCAAGTCACAATAGAAGTGAATTCAAAATGAATCAGCGAAGATGAAATAGGCAATTCTTGAGTTGGACAATCAGAGAAAACAATACCAAAGCAATTGATGAAAGATTGGAGCCCAATAAACGTAACTTGCCACTTCCCATCACACTCTGCACAGAAACATATGATAAATAAAGGGTAAGGATAAAAGGAAAAATGGCAAGAGGTAAAAGCAAGACATAAACGATTCAGCGAAAACAAACACTTGCTTACCCGAAACCATCTATTGCACCCATGGCTACCGCAAATTCCCAATTCATGGGAAAATTGCAAAGAACCAGCAGCAGCCATGTCTGAATAAACAAAGTTGAGACTGCAACTTGATGTTGACATAAAACTAGATTAATTTTGGCAGCATCACGTGTCTGAAACCTGCTACTAAATGCATTAGATTAGGATACAAACAAGACAACATGTGAAGATAAATGATTAAATGTCTACAATCAGTTGATAATAAGAAATAGCATCACAATCCATAAAAGCACCGTTAAAACCCGAGAACTATCAGTCCAATTTACTGGTTGTGCCAACATGGTGCGAAAAAAAAATTCAAACTAGAAAGGGAAATGAGCATAACAAAACAAGTACAATTACAAATCAACAAGAAGCATAACAATTCATTCGAACGTAAGCAAATACACACACGCACATATATATAAACACGAACATAGACATATAGGAATACGTATAAACACGAGCAAGCAGACTATGAAAACATCAGAACCTATTTCGGAGCGTAAAACCTAAGTTTTGGAAAAAAAAATACGGAAAATAAAGCGAGAAAATTATCAGGAAAGGACGGAAAATAGAGAGTGAAACGAGGTCATGTCACCTTGTAGAGAGACAATGAACGACGAACCAATGGAGACCTCGGAGTTGCAGACCGTTCCCCAAAGTTTCGTCTATGAAGTTAGCTCGCGCCGTTAATATTACGACATTTTTTGATGGGCCAGCATTGGCTAAATTACACTTAATACCCGTAACACACAGCTCGAATTTTAATAAAATTTTATATAAAAAAATTACTTGAAGTTTTTGTAGATGATTTTATTTTTTTTTTATCTTTTTTTATAGAAATAGTAGTTTAATGGTACAGGGTGTTAGTGATATTTAAATTAAATTAATTTAAAAATTTAGAAAATAGAGAGATGTATTTGAAGATATAGTAAATTAGGGGGTGTAGTTGAAATTTTTTAAAAAAAATAGTAATACCCCTCGTTGGTACCGTTTTAAAGAAATGATAAAAAAAATATAAAATATTATATTTAAACCATAAATAACTGATCATGATACCACCATTCGCATGGAGTTGATACTTTATTATAAGAGTAACGACAATGGTGGGTTTGTGGTACAGAAATAAAGGTGAGGTGATGGTAATGAGTGGTGGGTTTTTTTTTTTGGGGTGAGAGGTGGGGGAGGTTGGTGGTGGTACTAGTGATAATGACGGTGAATGGATGGAAGTGGTGTTTTGTACCAGAGTAGGTGACAAGGTGAGGGTGATAGTGTTAGAGAATTCAAGGACGACAGGTGGTGGTGGAGATGAGATTGTGGGAGAAGCTGACAGTGTGATGGTGGTAATTATAAAATAGTAGCGATGTGGAGAAAAGATTAATTAGAACGGTGCTGTGGTATCATCGGTCAATAATAATAAAACAAATAAACAGATGAATTTTACAAAAATTAATAACTGATCTGTCATGTAAGAAAATAGCTCTCCACTCTTCTGTCATGTAAGTCTAAGTGGGATTCACATTTTTCATTTGGAGTTTTATTATTGGTTGGTGATACCATACTATCAATGATGACATGATGTCACTGTTACATTCAATATTTACTCAGCGATGTGGTGGTGAATATGTCTGAAGAATAATGCGGTAGTTATAGCATAATTTTGGGGTGTCGATTTCACAGAAAGATAAATTAAAAGAATAATAGAAGGAATAAATGAACTAAAAAAAATATTAAATGATTACTAAATAACAAGAGATTCATTTTAAATGTAACTTAAAGTGAAACAAAGTGATTAATGAAAAAAGTATTTAAATTTAACAAGCAGTAAAGCGTCGTGAATTTCTTGCATAAATCTGATATTTTAATTATTCTTAATTCATTGAATAACTCAATTGAGAATTTAATTTCCAAAATTTTCAACCGAAAGATATAGATTTATAAACCAATATTAAACCAAACATAACCCTTTGAAAAAATCATTCACCACTTTTAAAATATATAAATTATTATCACTATTGAAAAAATTTAACGTCGACAATACATTCAAGAAGTAATGTTGCAGTAAAAAATTAAATCAATATAGATAAATAATTGATCCAAATATAATCAAAGAGTTAATCCATTCAATAGAAAAAGTTTGACTAAATTTCATAAACAGAATAAATTTTATGGCTATCTAGAGAATAAAACATCAACAATAAATTGAGAATGATAAAATAAAGAGTTTTATTAATTAGAAATCAAATATATAAATTAAAAATAAATAAAATATTATTTATTGTGTAAATTCATTACTTGCTTTATCTAAGAATTTAGTTATTCATAAATATAATAGACAATAAAAATTTCTTAATAAAAATTGAACAAAGCGGCAGCATCAGAACTTTTTTATTTTCTGATCTGCTTCTGTTCGTTCACCAGCCGTTTCCCCACCCTTTTCTTTCCAGCCGCCAACCACAAAGGAAAAGAAAAAACACAGTCGCCCCCCACAAAAGAAAAAACAAGAAGCTTTTAAAAGTCAATACCTCTTTTAAAAACTATCTTTTCGTCTCCCTTTCTATTTCAACCCCTAAACCCAAACCCACATACATGTTGAAAAGGACAAAGCCCAAATCTATTTAGGGTTGGGTCACCGTGACAACTGCATTAGTTTCAATTTTTTTGTTTCTTTCGTCAAAATAAAAATAAATATCAAACCCGAATAATAAAGTTTTAAAGATATTAAGTGTTAATCCCAATTATAAATTATTTCTTGCCAACCAATAATATAATATTTAAGATTTAAAATATTATAAAATCATGCTCAAATATATCTCAGTGTGAATAGATGTTAAATTCAATAAAATAAATTATATCTAATTATTTATATTCACATTTTAACATTTTAATCCAATAATAGAGTATTTAGAATATATTTTCGTGACCTCATCAGGTGGTAAGAATAAAATAAATAATTGTGGTGATATGATATAAAAAAATGATAAAATTAAAATAATAATAATTTTTAGATTTTAGTTTTTTGCGTTTATGTTACGATTTGATTTAATTTAATACTTAAAATTTAATAGATATTAGACAATTTATAAATTAAAAAATTTAGTATTCAATACTTAGTTCTATCAAACACAATCTCATATATATACTCGTGTCATCAAAAAATATCTCTAGAATTAGGGACACAGGACGTTCACGTTATGATCGTGAACTATTTGGTGATAAATTTAAAATGTGATGCTTAATGAAAAAGAAGCACCAATCTTGTCTAAATACGTGTTTAAGTATTATCTTAAAAATATATATATTTTTAGCTCTTTCTTTTCTTTTTTCACATTTGAAATAACAGATTTATTAATTTAAAAGCTTTAAAAAAAACTCTAAACATATTTTCTTATTATTTATTTTGGAATAGTGGAATTTTTTACCATCATACGACCATTTTTAATCCACACGGGGCGTCACAACAGTATGGAAAAAAAATATATAGGCTTTGAGCTCCAAATTTTTAGAAGACCCCATAATTTTATGTGTATCACTAACCAAAATATATATATATATTAAATTTTAAGCCCTACAAAAAAACCTCAAAAAATTAATTCAATGAATATTTTTATTTCAATAATTTGGGCTTATAATCAAATCTATAACATTAAAAACTTTGAAATTAAAATATAAAAAAATACTCAAAAGTCATCTCATATTTACTCCCACTCACACACATTCTCTCTCTGTTGTAAAAAAAAAATAAAAAAAAAAACAAAAGTTAAATTAAAAACTTTTTGTGGTAAAAAAACAAATATAAAAGTTGAAGTTTCTTTCTCGACAACATTAACACATTTTTTTTTTGTCTCTCTCTCACATAAAAAATTAAAAATAAATTAATTTTTTTAAAAAAATAATACTAAAAATAAACAAAATTCTATTTAATATTTTTGCTTTAAACCTTAAATTGGCTTAAGCTGCCCCTTGAATCTCATTCTTATTTTGATTTATTGTTTTATTTATTCTCAAGTTTATCATCGTTGTGTATAAACAACGCGGTTTAAATTTTTTATTTTTCTATATAAAAATATATTTGTAATTTTTTTTTTATTTTCATATTAAAAACACAATTTAAACAATATAACATTGATTTAAGTAATAATTTAAAATCACAATAAAATTAAAAAAAAATTCTTAAATATGGTAACGTACTGCGACTTTCCCTCCAATAATATATTTCTACATTGTCCTTCTAAAGTGGTCACGTTATGGGGAACTAGAAGTGATAATTTCCGTCCTATTTTTTGAATGACTATTTGTGATTAGACCTTTTTTTAGACCGTTTAAATATTAATTTAAGAGTTTAACGACTAAATTGATATAATTGAAACACTAGACACTAAATTGATATATAGTGCATAATTTGGGGATGAAAATATAATTTGTCACCTTTACAAATTCTGAGTGAGAGAGAGAGAGCGAGAGAATGGAAGGCGATGAGAAGGTGAAAGAAGAGGCTCTGCAGATAATCGCACTCCACAGAGACCTGCCTCGTCTCATCGTCTTCGATCTCGATTACACTCTATGGCCTTTCAACTGGTACCCCCTTCCTCTCTCTCTCTACAATATTACTTGAAATTTTTTATGGTTCGCTTTGATAGTTGAAACATTTGAGTGAAATTTTAGAGATTCTGCACGAAATGTTTGACAATTTTGTAGTCATTACCTATGATGTTTAGCAATTGACGTGTGTACCAATCACTCATCTTCAATACTATTTAATATATATTATATTTATCATTTTTTCCGTAGTTGTTTTTTGTCCAAACATGGCCTTTCGAAGGGCATAGAAATGTTTGGTTCGAGTATGGTTAAGGATGAGATTGAACAATTGATTACATGTAATAATTGGATATTTATCTCTTATGAATACCTTTATCTCTACTACGATGTCCTTCATTTAATTAGGCCGGAGAACGGACGAGAGGATTAGTAGATGTGTGTAAGATGACTTAAATACGCCGACTGTTGAAAAAAAAAAAAACCTATGCCAATTTATAACTCTTTAGCCTAGGAGATACTCTTGTAATTTTGGATATTGGTGTCAATGATGTCTCATTTTATGATATCCGTTATATGATATTGGTTTATACAATGTATGAAGTGTTAGATGACACTTTAGCATCTAACACTTATGATATGATTCACACTTGGTATTTAGTTAATATTGGACTAACTTAGTCTGATCCCACTCCTTCATACACACAACCAAACATACCCTAAAGAGTATTGAAGCTGTTAATTGTGTAGGAATTAATTCTTATAACTAAAATTTTGATCATGATGAAAAGAAAATAGCATTTTGACCACGAAATCATTAAATGGCACATACGAATTGAGTATGTGTCTGGATAGTGTCTTCTTAAAAGTACCTGGTATAGAAGCAATGCAACTTCATATTTGTTGCCAACTGTTTGCCTAATTATTTTGCAGTCATTGCTGCAATGAAGATAAAATGCCTTCATTGTTTCCACAGGCTACCGGAATATTATACGCTCTTAAGGACAAAGGAATTGATATGGTTATTGCTTCTAGATCACCAACTCCTGAGATAGCAACAACATTTCTTGACAGATTGGGAATCCGATCCATGTTTGTGGCTGAGGTGAGCCAATCTAGAAATGCTTTGCCCACTTTTTTCTATTCCTTTTTTTGTATTCTTCCTACTGTACTGGATAGACATTTGTGTTTTTCTTTAAGTGTCAGATTTCATGTTTGCCATTTTCTTTGACAGAGTATAACCTTTCGTTGCAATGAATACCCTTATTGTAGCTCAACAAATGCAGGAAAAGAGAACATACTTGAATTAGTGTAACTTTTTTGTTTGTTGTTAATGATTTTCCATGAATGGAAGTTGTATTATAAAAACTGTAAAAGAAAAAGAAAAAAAAATCTGAAATTTCATATACTTTCAGTGCCATGTTTGCTTTCATAAATGTCAGAAAAGTCACATGCATTGTCTTTATTAGTTGATGACATGGGTTCTTGCCTTTATCCCTCCTGAAATGACACATCTTAGATGTAACCTTCATATTTGGTAAATGATTGTTATTGTGCATCTAGCCCTGCCTCAATCATTCTGGGAATACTACAGTCCTGCATATTCATATATTGGTCTGTCCTCTTATCTTCTCTCTATTTTTTCCCTCCATTATGTTTCTTACTTTGTCCAATTTTTTCCCATTTCCTTCCATGTAACCTTTATATTGGTTATCCTACAGGAGATTTTCTTCAGTAGGACACACAAAACAGAGCATTTCCAAAGAATTCATAGGAGGACTGGGACACGATTTGATTCAATGCTTTTCTTTGATGATGAGGACAGTAATATTGAAGTGGTAAAGTTGGCTTCTATTTTGATCCTACTTTTCAGGTTTGCTGGATCTTCGAAGCATCTAAATAGTCATGGAGAAAATGATCCAGCTTTTATTAAGTGTTGACGTATCGGTTCATTGCTCAATTCTCTGACTCGTACACTTGGGATATGCAGGTCTCGAAAATGGGTGTGACAATCATTTTTGGTACACAATGGGGTAACCCTTCAAGCTTTGAAGCAGGGACTCTCCGACTTCTCTCAGAAGCCAAGTTCATCTAGCAGGAACTGTTGAAAATTATTTTTTCCTTCCAAGTAGGAATATGATACAACGTCTTGGAATTTGTTCAAGTGTGGCAATAAGAACTTTTCACTTTTTGGTTGATTAATACTATCAACTTGATTGTATCAGATAAATTTTCTAGGTTGCTTGTGGGGATTCTTCTTATTACAGTTCTCATGTCATGTATTCTTGTCTCTTAATCTTGTTTTACAATAAAGAACATATGTTGACAAATCTAGATCAGTGATAATGAAGACTTGGTCATATATTTGAACAATGCTTTAAAAAACGTGAGACATGTTTGCAACGACGAACAAATTTGGACAGCAAGGCAAGCTGTGTTGTTAGTTAGGTGGCTTTTAGGCGAACAATCATGAACAAATTGGCTTCTTTGGAGTTTTTGTTCTTCCTGATCAAGTTATCTAGGATTGTAAGTAGTCTTGAATTAGATTCATGGATCACCTTAGTCCAGGAATGAGCTAAATTTAGCATGATGGAGCAGAGAGCATAAAATTATGTATATATATAACTTTTGCAAAAGTAACACAGCTACTCTTCATTATTTTGAAACTGAACTGTGTCCTAGTTCTATCATTAGCTGAAGTGCGTGAAAATTCATCTAGTAATCAAGGAAAATAGTATCGGTGACTGACACAGAAAAAACACGTAGCGACAATTACTATAGCTTAGAATTACCAGTCACAAAGTAAAGAGCAGCAAAATATGAATCATGATTGTGTTATTGGCAGATGCAGAATACTCATACAAAGGTTAATCAGCCATATACTGATGATATACAGGATACAAATAAAGTTATGCTTCAAATTGCAATATATATTGCTTCCAAACACAACCAAAAAAAAAAAGATAAAAAAATTACTTTGACCAGTTGTACCTAATTGTTGAGAGCTCTAAGTGGTGATCTTTCATCAACAATGGCATCGACTTTCTTTGTTGTGTTAGAGGGGTAACTATTTGTGTTCTCTTTTACAGGATCAAATATTTCTTCTTCATGCCCTTTCATGTCTACTCCCATCTCATTGTTGTCAAAAGTATGAACTATCTTTCCCAAGACTCTCATCAGCTGCATATCTTCACTACAGCACGAACTGATCCCACCATATAGCCCCTCTATAGTACCCAACAACGTTTCTCTATCTGATGATAACGTCATGACTTCTTCAAGCAGCTTCCTTTTTTCATCATTGAGCTTCTTGATTACGGATTCTGAACCTCTCAACTGTTTGTCAATTTGATTTGTCAATTTCTTTATTTCCATCTGTTTTGCTTCCAGTTCTCTTTCTATCACAACTGTTTTCGCCTTTGAATTGTACAGAGTTTTCTCCTGCATCTCCACTTTCTGCTGTAAACCACTCAATTCATTTTCAAATTCTGCAATCATCAAAATATTCTCTTGGATTTCAAACTCTTTCAGCACCTCAGCTGCAGTGATTCTCTCCCAGACCTTGCGGAGCAAATTAATCTCCATCTGCATCTCTGACAGTCGTGATGAGAAGGAGGTAGTCGAATTTTCAAACTCTTGTTCCAGTGACTGCACAAGATGCTGGAGATCTTCTATTCTCTGGTCCTTCTCTACTACAAGCTGGTGAAGACTCTCTTTCTCTTGCTCATGGGTTCTCTCTGCATCAATTTGTGCAAATATTGCGTCCTCTAGTTCCCTTCTTACCCACTCCTGCTCGAACAAATCTAGCTCTTTGTGAAGATCGTCTGCAATCTTGTCCTTCTCTTTTGCACTTTGAACAAAGCAGTCTTTCACTGAATCATAGGCCATGGCAGCAGCCTTTGTTTCCCTGCTCTTGATTTCCTGTTTCAGGAGCACAAGCTGTTGCTCAAGATCATCTATTCTTCTTTCTTTCTTTTCTAGTACATGGATAATTCTTTCCTTCTCCTGCTTCAGTAACAGAAGCTGTTGCTCAAGGTCATCTATGCTTCTGTCTTTTTCTCCTAATACATGGATAATTCTTTCTTTCTCTTGCTTGAGAATAAATTCACCCTCCACTTCTGCTAGGAGAGAAGCNCTAAGTGGTGATCTTTCATCAACAATGGCATCGACTTTCTTTGTTGTGTTAGAGGGGTAACTATTTGTGTTCTCTTTTACAGGATCAAATATTTCTTCTTCATGCCCTTTCATGTCTACTCCCATCTCATTGTTGTCAAAAGTATGAACTATCTTTCCCAAGACTCTCATCAGCTGCATATCTTCACTACAGCACGAACTGATCCCACCATATAGCCCCTCTATAGTACCCAACAACGTTTCTCTATCTGATGATAACGTCATGACTTCTTCAAGCAGCTTCCTTTTTTCATCATTGAGCTTCTTGATTACGGATTCTGAACCTCTCAACTGTTTGTCAATTTGATTTGTCAATTTCTTTATTTCCATCTGTTTTGCTTCCAGTTCTCTTTCTATCACAACTGTTTTCGCCTTTGAATTGTACAGAGTTTTCTCCTGCATCTCCACTTTCTGCTGTAAACCACTCAATTCATTTTCAAATTCTGCAATCATCAAAATATTCTCTTGGATTTCAAACTCTTTCAGCACCTCAGCTGCAGTGATTCTCTCCCAGACCTTGCGGAGCAAATTAATCTCCATCTGCATCTCTGACAGTCGTGATGAGAAGGAGGTAGTCGAATTTTCAAACTCTTGTTCCAGTGACTGCACAAGATGCTGGAGATCTTCTATTCTCTGGTCCTTCTCTACTACAAGCTGGTGAAGACTCTCTTTCTCTTGCTCATGGGTTCTCTCTGCATCAATTTGTGCAAATATTGCGTCCTCTAGTTCCCTTCTTACCCACTCCTGCTCGAACAAATCTAGCTCTTTGTGAAGATCGTCTGCAATCTTGTCCTTCTCTTTTGCACTTTGAACAAAGCAGTCTTTCACTGAATCATAGGCCATGGCAGCAGCCTTTGTTTCCCTGCTCTTGATTTCCTGTTTCAGGAGCACAAGCTGTTGCTCAAGATCATCTATTCTTCTTTCTTTCTTTTCTAGTACATGGATAATTCTTTCCTTCTCCTGCTTCAGTAACAGAAGCTGTTGCTCAAGGTCATCTATGCTTCTGTCTTTTTCTCCTAATACATGGATAATTCTTTCTTTCTCTTGCTTGAGAATAAATTCACCCTCCACTTCTGCTAGGAGAGAAGCTTCTATTTCTCTACGCATTTGATGGTTTTCTTCAAGGTTAGCTTTCAACCGTTCCGCTATGGATTTCCATATCTGCAATTCAAATTCTACTTCATGCCCTTCACAAACTTTCTCGGCCAGTTCATCATTTGCTCTATTCAGCTCATCCCGGACCTGTTTCAAATCACTTTTCATCTGCAACACTTCCTTCTTTAGATGAAGTTGGCAGTCAGATGATTCCTTGAGCATTTCCTTATGCCTATCAAGATCGTTCTGCAGTAAAAGTTGCTGTTCTTCCAAGGACTCAACCTTCACCAAGAGTGATGCCACCTTCTCACGTTCCTCTTCAATATCGCTTTGGGCTTTAAAGAGAGCCGCCTTCTTCTCCTCCAACTGTTTCTGTAGAAGAGAAATATTCTCTTCTCTCTCTGTGTTTTTGAGATCCATGGCAACCATCTCATCAGTAAGCTTCAATTGGCACTCCAACGACTCAACCTTCTCTGAGAGTGATGCCACCTTCTCACGTGCTTCTTCAGTATCTGTTTGGGCTTTTAGTAGAGCCACCTTATTCTTTTCCAACTGCTTCATTAGAAGAGAAACGTTCTCTTCTCTCTCTTTGTTTTTCAGATCCATGTCAGCCATTTCATTAGCAAGGTTCAATTGGGCTTCCAGGAACCCTGACTTCAACACCAGTAACATCACAGAAGATGACTCCTGCTGCAATGTTAACTCAACTATTACAGAATGACAATCTTTCAACTCCATTTGGAGTTCCTCAATACAGACATCTTTATCCTCTAACTTGGACCTGCAGCAATTAATGTCCCTCATCAGTTTTTCAAATTGAGAACTCCATTCAGTTTCTTTGGCCTTAAGGGTTCTGGAACAGTCTCTGTGTCCCTGCTCCAGAACTTTAAGCTTGTTCCGAAGCTTTGAAAGTGAAGAAGAAGTTCCTGCTTCTTGAATCTGGGCTTTCTGGAGTTCTCTGAGGTGTGATAACAATTCTTGATTCTCTTGCTCCAGCTTGCAAACTTGGTATTCCATTTCTTTGTAAAGTGTCTCCTTTCTGCCCAACGAGCCCCTCAAAGAGGCAATTTCTTTATCCCTTTGACCTGTCAAGCACTCAATTTTTGATTTTGCATCCTCAAACTCATCAAAAACATTGTCAAAGCATCTTTTGGATTCAGAAAGTTGAACTTCCAGATACTTCCTCCGGCTCTCTTCATGAGCTAGAGCTTGATTGCACATCTGTAAACGGCTTTGAAGACCTTCTGAAACTCTAGTTAGGGAATCAAAATCAGTCTGCAGCTTAGAGATCTCATCAAGCAACATAGATTTCTCCCTCACCCACTCTTTCTCACTTGATCGGAAATGATCTCGAAGTTTTTCATGGGCCTCTTCTAGATGTTTAAACTGTTCTCTCTTCCATTTGAGCTGGTCCTCAGCCTTTCCTTTTTCCTCCTCTAATTTGAGTAGCATATCATCTCTATGTCTCAATTCTTGGTTTGCTTTAGCCTTTTTCGCCGCTTCTGAATGCTTCTTCTCCGAAACAGATATAAGTTCCTTAAGGCCTTCAATTTCATCCACAAGTGTGTGAATTTTTTTCTCTTGATCCACATTTTTCGCATTTGCCTCGTCTAATGAGAAAGCCATCTCCCTATTTTCCTCTTTACATTTCTGAAGCTTCTCACCGTGTTCGAAACGAAGCTTATCATTTGCAGAACTGAGATGCTTGATGATAGCCTCCTTTTCTTTCATACTACTCTTGAGATCTTCATACATTTGCTTTGTAATAGAGATTTCATCTGCCTTCTCATTTAGTTCTTGAGTTTGCTTCTCAAGCTTCAGACTCGCCTCTTGGACTTTGATGAGTTGCTCATTATGGGCTCTCTTCAAGTTTTCAGCCAGCTCTGCCTTTAATTTGTATTCTGCCTTGAGCTTCTCAATCTCAGATTTAGCTTCATCTGGCTCTTCATGAACTCTCTCCATTTTCTTGTTCCCCAACAAAAAAGTCAATACGATCTATTCACAAACAAAGGACAGGGTTAGATGGTGAGACCCAAATGAATACAAAGGGAACAGTGTTACAGATCAAGGTCATGCACAAAATCAAATTCCAGACCACCTGAAGAACTCCAAAATCAGTAAGTTTTATACTATTTCCTTCTCAATGTAAGTATAGAACTCTGCATCAGTAATGTACACATGGTGCATTCTGTTTCGGTTATTCTCTCCAAAATACTTCCATTTATTACCCGAGGATGTTTCCCCAACAAATAACTTATTACCAAATAAAGTTCCCCCCAAAACAAATCAACCATAAATCAAGTCAAGTGACAGAAATTGGCCATAAAAATTACAGTCTTTCAAAGTAAAAAAGGAAGCATGACTTTCTGTCATTTAAAAGGTCAATCTACAGCAGAAATGCAGTAAAAACACAAGAAACCTGACACGAAATTAGTTGTTTAGGATATATTAGGTTGGAGGACCTCGGTGATTAACTCCCAGAGAAATGTAAACTTCATACAAATTCGATTTCCAAACTCAAAACTGTCAAGTAAAGCCAGAGACTACTGTGAAATCAAGAAAGGCTGAAAAGAAATAAAATTCCTAGAAGAATGGAGAAATAAAACAGGATTTAAAAACAACTAAACCCAATTAACTTGGTGCAAAAAATTACCACAAATCGGCAATGGGAAGTAATATCAAAGTTTTGCTTACTGCCTAGATAACAGAAGAAACAACTAAAAACTTGGAAACTGCCAACCAATACCAAGATTCCAATTTTTCTTATCTGGCTTTTGCGGTGATAAATTAATTTCTCTAAAAGTAATTGCTCATGTTAAAACTGAACCTGTACTGGGATTAAAGAATACAAGTCCTGGAAGTAGGGATTAATCAAACTAACTATAAAAATAACAAAAACCCGATAACACTGTGAAATTAAGACCAACAAATAAGCATAAACGGGCACTAACTACAAGTTTTGCTGACTGCAAATATAACAAAAGAAACCACAAAAAAAAATTGCAAACTACCAACAGCCAATCGATAACAAGATTCCAGGTTTTCTTGTGTTTTCCTGCAAATTTTCAGCAGCCAAGCAGAAGATAGAGATAGGGAATAGTGTGCTCATCTAAAAGTATTAGTTCATGGTAAAACACAACCGATACTCAGATTAAAGCATATTAGTCCTAGAAGAATTCAAAACTTCCCAGATAGCAAAAGAGACGAAAAAAAAAATGGAAACTGCCAACCGACAACAAGATTCCAAGTTTTCATCTTTTTCTTTTAAATTTTCAGCAAACAAACACAAAATAGAAAGAAGGAAAGAGTATGCGAATCAAAAAGTACTAATTCAATAGTAAGTTCCAACAAACAAACAGATTAAAGAATACAAGTCCTAGAAGAATGGCGAAAACAAATTAATTGTAAAAACAACAAAAAATTAATTGAATTAAAAGACCAAGAAATCACCACAAACTGACAATGAGAAGCAACTACAAAGATTTGCCGACTACCCACATAACAAAAGAAACAAATAAAAAACTTGGAAACTGACTAACGATTGCAAGATTGGTACACAAGTCTTCATGAACCAAACAGAAAATAATAAAAACTATAAAGAATAAAGTACCTGGTTCAAAGATTAGGGTTCAGCAGCCATCAATGGGGAAAATGGCCCAAACGTTGATGATTTATGATGGGTAAGTTCGTTAATTAAAAGTAAAAAAGGTAGAGGATAAACAAATGGGGGGCAACAAAAGGCGTTGAAAGTGGTAGTTTCAGTTCAGAGAGCCGTTGGAAACTCAACAAGCCTATTTGTATTTGAAATTGTTGACGGAGATTGACGGCGGAATACCGTTTCTCGTTTAACGGCGTTGGTCTCTGAAAATTATTTTATTTCGGAAGAGGAACCATACTAGCCGTTGGGAGTCTTGGCATTGTGGACTTGGGTTGGACTACAACACCATGGCCCCAGTTTGGTTCGGTAATTGGGTTTCAAAATATGTAGTTGGGCTCAGTATTTTGATATAATGGCCCGTTTGAAATTAATTTTTGAGGAAATTGTGAAAAGGTACACTTTATCATATTTATTTGTGTAAAAATACCTTAATATAAAACATTTATATATAAGTACCTTTATGTGTAAATGTTTAGTAAAGAAGTATACTTTTGCTGAGTTGTAATTTTTTTTCTTATGAAATTGCCTTTTTCCTTTATTAGTCGGAGACAGATATTCTAGTTATATAAGGAATTCAGTTTCCTAAATTTATGGAATATCATTTTTGAATTTTAAATTATATCTTTCTCTTTCATTCAACTTAAAATATTCAAACATTCATGTATTTTTCATATTTGTATAATTTTTTTTTTTATAAATCGTAATAATCAAGATGATGATTCTAATTCGGAGGATGATTTGTTGTCTTGCACGATAATGTTACAGTGCTATAAGACAATGTCACACTGCTACAATATCGTCCATTTGTTTTTTTTTTTTTATAAAAAAAATCGTTACGGTCTGTTTATGTCAATCACGTTCATGTGAGGATAAAATGTCAATGATGATGACTCAAATGAGGATGATCGTAATAATCAAAATGACGATTCTGATTCGGAGGATGATTTGCTATTTTGTACGATAATGTCACAGTGCTACAAGACAATATTACAATGGTACTAAAAAAATGTCACAGTGTTATAAATCAAATTCACACTCCTAGAAACCAATGTCACATTATTGCAAGTCAATGTCACACTGCATATATTGACATGACGCATATCACAATATATATAGTCTCTTTGGTTTTTTTTTAGGTAAATGATCGAATACTTGGTGTGCATGTAGTACCAAGCACTAGAAGTATAAAGGTAATTGAGGGAAAAAAATAAATAAAACAAAAATATGGGGAGAAACAACATTTTTCTTGAGTTATCAACATTTTTTCCAAAAAATTCAACCACTCCCATATTTCTCCATTCTTCTGCTACAGCCACTCTCAGTCAAACTCTTATCTAAATTTTTCTCACCCAAATGGATCTTTTATTGAAACCACATTACCCTTTAACGTAACCAAGTGATGTTAATGAATCGGATTCCAATCCATATCCAAGATCGTGTGATTGAGTTGGCTCTTCGTTACTAAAAAAATTTATAACTACTTCCGTCCCTCTGCTACAAAGGTGAAGATTTGGATAATGAAGTTTTGAAAAGATCTTTTCTTTAGCAATGATTAATAGAAAGTTTTGAACATCCAAAAGAAGATTTTATGGAAGTTTTTGAAAGAATGAGATTTCCGACGATATTGAAGGAATTTATGTGTAACTGTTGAGATCCCTTAAGTTTCGGTTGTGGAAGCAAAAATATAGGAATCGATTCTCATTCTATTGAAGAGGGTATTTTAGAGATTTTTTAGGGGTTGTATACTTTTTGACCTATATTTTTAAAAGTAGTATTTTTTACCCTATAATTTCTAAAAAGGGTATCGGCCCCCTTAAAACCCATAATTTTTTTGAGTACAAAACATAGGTTTGAAAAGTAAAATAAAAAAATCATAATTAAAAAAACTTTTGAAACTATTTGAAATGTTTTCAAAAAAAATCGATTTTTTCTTGAAAACCCTTGAATAAGTCCTATTTTTTAGCTTTTCTACGGTGTTGATAAAAGCTATTTTTGTCCAAAAAATTGATGAAAAACCCGCTCAATAAGCTAGGGTCCAAACGGACAAGGTTTCTTTTTACTTTGAAACCAAAAAAAGTAAGATTTTAAATCAGTTCTAAACAAACTCAATATCGAGAGTTAATGTAGTTGTGTCGTGTTTTATTTGAAACATGTTATTTCAATTTTGGAATAAATAATAGTTACTCTTAAGTTAAATAATTTAATTAATAGAATAAAATTATCTGACTTTAATCTGGCTTGTTTATACTAAAATTAATTTCTCTCAACCAAGAACACCACACGGAGGCTGCTCTTAAACCCCAAAACTCACAAGTCCAAGTATTTTCAAAATCAAGTAGAAAATCTTTTAATTCTACTTGTATTCACGTGACACCTAAAACAAGTACTCACCCAACAAGGAGGATATGCAATTGGGAAAAAAGAAAAGAAAAACACCCACTTAGCATTCACACAAGAACCTTTTTTATTTATTTATTTTTTTTTGGGGGTAGAGAATAGGGTGGAATCCTTATTTGGACGTGATTATAATAGTTCGAGCTAGAGAAGTTCACCGGTGGTACTTAGATGACGGGAAAAAAGTTTTTCATGCTGTGACTCTAAGAGAGTCATCAAATTTTAAACTAAACATATGTGAATTTATAATCTATTCTTATCTCCATTGATTACACTTGCTGTTAAAGTGTTACTGTTCTTGTGCAGCTTATTGTTACCCTTTTTGATGCAAGTGGGACACAAATTTCAGAAAAAGGAAGATTTGGAAGGGAAAAAAAATAGTGAAATTGGTTAATATTCCTTAAACTAAGGATGTTTTATTCAATCAAACATATCATTTTGTTTGTAGCTAAAAGCTTGTGCAGAGTGCTGGCCAGACTACCAGTCCAGTGATCTTCCTCTTGTCCTTATACTCAGACTGAACGAATATAGAGGAGTACATTAAGTACAAACCTAAGTGACTTCACACCTAAGGCTATTATATTTGATACGGATGATTAGTCGATAGTTTATCAGGTCAATCGTTAATAAAAATTGACATGAAGTGTGCGAATTATGGATAATTACACAGATCATAAATTGCAATAACGATTCTCGACAATAAAAAAGTCGCCCTAACTCCTAATATTATTTTTTGGTTAGAACTATAGTACCATAACTTGCTTTACGATTTGATACCAATAAATTACTAGACAGTAAAACTAAAATAGTAATTCAATTTAGTGAGACTATAAGAAAATAAGTTAGGGATTCAAATATCCCACGAAACATTCACCCTCTTGGCGCTACCGTCCATAGATTTATCTTATTGTGTGGAGATACGACTTTACTGATGTGATCTAATAGGGCAGTCGAGTTAAAAAAAAAGAAAAAAAAGTTAAAATTGATCGTAAACCCGTATCTCTTTTAATACCATAGGCATACACATGTATTTTTTTATATGTTTTTCTAAAATTAGGGTGTATCGTCTCAGCCTTTTGAGGCATTGCTCTGCTCACTTTGCTGCAGCATCAAGTAACGGAAAATGGTAACATCAACTTTTTGTCTTTTGGTGGCCTAAGGCACATGCAGGCGGATGAAGAAAAGTTAAAGGAAGTTAACCTCATGGTCAGTGCAAGTGGGGGAAGCATACAACTTTGGCTGTCTCTATTGATTGATTCACACAACAGTGGGCATATCTAATTTGTTTTATCCCCAAGTTGACCAAATATTTTTCTCTCTTAATTAACAAAAGTATGGGTCCCATTAAACATCATTAGTTGAAATAATTGTTTGTATAATTAGGTGGATACACATTGATTGTTGTACAATTTGAAGATTAGTTACAAGTGGTAGATAGATTATGAGTGTGGGATATTATGTTAATCTTTTTGTTTTGGGTATCTTATAGGATCTGATAAAACTCCCAACCATTCATTGTAGTGTTTAATAGAATTTGTGTTACATGTAGTCGGATTCGTATCAACTCATTTATTAAATAAATCTGATGGATAAATCTATTTATGACTTAAACCCGTTTAGATAATTAAATCTACACTCGATAATTTTTTATTGAATTCATATTAAATTGATGGGTTATTTTAAAAACTGCCACCTTATTATCATCCCTAAATCAATCAAAAAGTGTATTGATTTAATTGAACGGAACTAAGACTATTAGCTTAGCTAGCATTTCGGGGAAATCTAGACATTTAGTCAGTTCATAATAATCTCTATAAAACAAGGGGCAAAGCTTCCCCCTCGTGTAGTTGTCGGCCTTCCACAACCCCCCTTTTGTTTGTTGTGGGTTGTGCCTTACCGTAGGCACTGAATGAATGAAACGAGTGAAAATCTTCCTTTTTCCTTGCAAATTACCAAGAATTTTGTTGCCCCTTACTCGGCGCCTCCCCTGATTGCTTGAAGATGCATAGCAATACAAACGATAAAGGCCCATGGGAATAACCAAGCCATGGCAAAGCTTCGGAGTTGACCCAAGCGAACATCGACACTCCAAGGCTTGAGGAGCAGTCTTAAAAAGGGAAATTTTTGTGAGCTTTAGAAAGACTTTTTCCCTTACTAGATCAAATAGGGCTTATTATTTAGTAATAGGGAGAGAATTACAATTACGAGATATAAGTTGGGTAGAGTATATCTATATGGGGTAATCTCTCTAATATTACAGTTATGAAATTGAATTTTTAACTTATAAAAATACAATAATAGTCAAGATTGATCTAATTTTTATTTACTTTGGTCTAATGATATGAAATTAATTCTATTTTTTTTTTCTGCTCAAAATCATTAACTCAGCTAGACTCATGCCAGATAATCCTACTAATCCACATTTACTTCTCTATATTCTCTTTCTCCTACCTCTCCCTTATTTTCTCTTTGTTCATTTTAAATTTAAATTGTATAATTAAAAACATAAATAACTTACTATTTAAATATTACAGAATATCTATATAATAAAGTAGCTTACAATTTAAATTTCAAAAGATAACAAAATGACTTTTGCTATTCACGGTTGAGATCGTTTTAAATTTTACTTTAAAGTTAATCTAACAGCT